CTCCCTGATAATCCCTATCTCTAAACTCTGTAATGTCAAGTCCAACCTCTATTGTAGGTTCTCAGCTAATCCTGTATTTGCCTATTTGAACCAGAGGAGCACAACAGGGACAAGCAAGGTGAAATTGAAATCAGAAGGTCTGTATCAGTCAACAAATATTCATTGAATGTCTACTACATGCCAGTTTTGGAGTCTCCTTTTGAGCTAACACCAGAATGGCTCTATTCTTGTGGTAGTTATCTTCCTAAGGCATAAACTTGAAAAACAAATATTTTGAACTATGTAGTTTTAGGACTGCTCATGAAAGAATGTCCATATTACCTTGAGTTTAAAAAGCAAGTAGCAAACTACTTATAATGCTCCTATTTTAGTAAAGATTAAAAATAAAAAGTTATATACATCTTGTTTGTGTGTTCATTGAAAAAGGCATGGAAGGATGCACGTTAGACTGTGAATAGTAGTTACCCTGTTGCCGAGGGCAGAGAGGGAGAACTTTCGTTTTTTACTTACATACTTGTATTTGAATTTTTTAGAATAAGGATAAATTACGTTTGTAATCATAAAATGTGTAAACAATAAAGAATGTTTAAATAGATAAGGCACCTGGGTGGCTCAGTCAGTTAAGCATCTGCTTTTGGCTCAGGTCATGATTCCGGGGTCCTGGGATTGAGCCTCATGTCAGTCTCCCTGCTCAGCTGGGAGTCTGCTTCTCCCTCTCCCTCTGCCCCTCATCTCACTCATGCTCTATCACTCTCTCTCTCTCAAATAAATAAATAAAAACCCTTATTATAAGGATATTTATTTATTTATTTATTTTTAAAGATTTTATTTATTTATTTGAGAGAGAGAGCTCGAGAGCGCACAAGCAGGGGGAGCGGCAGAAGGAGAGAGAGAAGCAGGCTCCCCACTGAGCAGGGAGCCCCTCCATTCCAAGCCCCTGGGATCATGACCTGAGCTGAAGGCAGACGCTTAACTGACTGAGCCATCCAGGAACCCCAGAAAATCCTTTTTTTTTTTAAAGAATGATTAAATAGGTAAAAAGCTTGTCCATATTTTTAGTAAGAATATATATATAATGTATAATGTGTAAATATTATATATATATACACACACACATATGTACAGTTGGCACTTGAACAACAAAGGTTTGAACTATGTCAGTCCACTTATAGGTGGATTTTTTACAGTACTATAAAATGTATTTTCTTTTTTATGATTTTCTTCACATTTTTTTCCCCTCCAGCTTACTTTATTGTAAGAATACAGTATAGAATACATCTAACATACAAAGTATGTGTTAACTGACTGTTATGGGTAAGGCTTCTGGTCAACAGTAGTCTATTAGTAGTTAAGTATATGGGGAGTTAAAGTTATATGTAGATTTTCCTGCATGCCGGTGGTGGGTGCCCCAACCCCCACCCCCGCCCCCGTGTTGCTCACAGGTCAACTGTGTGTGTGTGTGTGTGTGTACATATATATGTATAAATGTAGATATTATTCCTGCATATTATTTACACACACTGGATTCACATATTAAAGGGGAAATTCCACCTACTGGCAGTGCTAATTAATTATTTACATCAGAAGAGTAGTTGATTGCCTAGAACAGAGGTTATTTTGGGAGGAATTAACTCCTCTTGTAAACATTCTGTGAGCCAATGGAGGAGTATAGTTATTTTCCTCAAAAAAATGGAAAGGCTTCATATTTTGTGGAAACACAATAATTAGTGGGTTTGATTTTTGAAAATAGCTCTGGTATACCCACTATTTCCTTGTCAGATGCAGTACTTTTTCATATTATTCCATGAGATTATAATTGGACTATAAACTTCATTAAGGCCAGGCTAAGGGCCTACCATGTTCACCACTGCACCTAGCATAGAGAGAGCAGATAACTGGGGCTTAAGGTTGGTGCAAAGAGTGCATTAGTTGCATACCTTGATGAAAGAATTGGCACTGAAATTATCATGGGAGAAGTTTGTATTTATTCATTTGTATATTTAAAAATACTGATTATCTAATCTGTGGTCTGTCCTGAGGATACCAAAAAAAAAAAAAAAATTCCTGGGGCATCTGGCTGGCTTAGTTGGTAGAGCATGTAACTCTTGATCGCTGGTTGTGTGTTCGAGCCCCACATTGGGCATAGTGCTTACTTAAAAATAAACAAACAAAAAAGATTCTTGTCGTAGTTTAGCACGATTTGAAAAAGATTGCTACAGCACTTGAGTTTTCCCTGTCTTTTGAGGGTACACAGATTTGATTTAAATGCCAAGCATATATTTTTTATTCTGTGCATTGGGTGAGGGATACAATAGAAGTCAAATAAGAGCTTTGAAAACTTTTTTAACTTTTTATTTTATTTAATTAATTTATTTTTTAAAGATTTTATTTACTTATTTGACAGAGAGAGAGAGTGAGAGAGCACAGCAGGGGGAATGGCAGGGAGAGGAAGAGGGAGAAGCAGGCTCCCCACTGAGCAGAGAGCCCCTTGCCTGGCTTGATCCCAGGACCCAGGGATCATGACCTGAGCAGAAGGCAGAGGCTTAACTGACTGAGCCACCCAGGCCCCCCTTTATTTTATTTTTTTTAAAGATTTATTTATTGGGGCACCTGGGTGGCTGAGGCATTTAAGCCTCTGATTTTTGGTTTCAGCTCAGGTCCTGATCACATGGGTTGTGAGATCCAGCCCTGTGTTGGTTGGGCTCCTCGCTTAGCTGGAGTCTGTTTTGATATTCTCTCCCTCTGCCTGTTCCCCCACTTGTGTGCATGCACTCTCTCTCTCAAATAAATAAAATCTTAAAAATATATAAAGATTTATTTATTTGAGAGAGATAGTGTGAGCCCACACAAGCAGGAGGGAGGGTCAGAGGGAGAGGGAGAGAGAATTCTCAAACTGACTCCCCACTGAGCACAGAGCCAGAGGAAGGGCTGGATCTAGGGGCCCCGAGATCATGACCTGAGCTTAAGTCAAGAGTTTGGGTACTTAACTGGCTGAGCCACCCAGGCACCCCTGAAAACTTTTTTTTGAAGCACACTTGGTTGTTAACAGGTTAGGCAGATAGATTTTATAACTCAAAGTTTAGTAACTAAATTCACCTTTAAAATTACAAGGAAAACTGGGCACCGGGGTGGCTCGTCGTTAAGGGTCTGCCTTTGGCTCAGGTCATGATCCCAGTGTTCCAGGACTGAGCCCAACCCTGGGCTCCCTGCTCAGCAGGGGAGCCTGCTTCTCCCTCTACCACGCTGCTTGTGCTCCCTCTCTCACTGTCTCTGTCAAATAAATAAATAAAATCTTTAAAAAAAATTACAAGTAAAACTATTGGAGGACTATTTTACCCCATTTCCCTCCAGAAAACAAGAACTTTGGAAGTTCCTTTATTTTAACATGTCTGTTAGTCTAAATATAGCCACAAACACTCAGTTAGGCGGCTCACTCTTGATCTCAGCTCAGGTCTTAATACCAGGGTGGTGAGTTCAGGCCCCTGGGCTCTACGCTGGCTGCGCTGGAGCCTACTTAAATAAATAAATGAATAAATAAATAAATATCACTACTAACAATGGTATGAAATTACTGAAATCAATAAAACCTATTCAACAATATTTCTTAGCTTCAAATGAGAAAAGACAAGCTCTCTTCCCCAGGTTTTACTTCTCATTCATATGAGATATCACGTGCAAGCACAATATCATGTCAAACAAGCTTGTACATTTTAAGTATGTGCAGTTTACAGTATATCATACCTCAATAAAGCTGCTTTAAAAAACTCAAACCCGAACAAAAATAAGACATGAAAATGTTACTTTATGTGGGACAAATAAAGGAATTCATTTATTAAGAGCGGTTTCTACTGGGGAACAAAGTATCTCTGCAGAACCTAGTAGTCAAAGGAGAACAATCGTGAAGCAAATTTTATGTAATTAATACCTCTTTTTTAGACTACATTTAGGTTACCATCTAGTCAATAAAAAAAAAAACGCACCCTTTTAGTTTACTGTGCTATAATGAAGCTCCACGGCATAACTATTTGAATACTTTGTATTTCGAGAGCATCATCACCAGCCTCCAAATAGGATTTCAGAAGTCTGGGAAAAGACTCTAGCGAGTAAAACGTGTATTTTTTTCCTTCGTGCCCCAAATAGCGTTTTCTTAGGCTGTTTCGAAGTGAGAACTGAGAGAGAAGCTATCAGGCTCGAGGCTGGATGTGGCCCTTGTGAGACACCCTTCCTACAGATCTGAGTAGGCTCCCCCAGATCTCCAAATCCCTAGGGAAAAGCCTTTCGCACACAACCTCTAAATAAAAGCATTTTCCTGGGGATTCGACTCAAGAAGGCCGGCCTAGGTGTTTTTGTTTGAAGATGTGGGAAGCACCGTGCTGGAGTCCATCTCCAGCGACTCATCCCCAGGTCTGGGATAAATTCAGCATCTCACTCCGGGTCTCAGTTCCGGGAGGGACAATCTGCCCCGCAGCTGGACCCTCCCTGGCTCTCGGGAGCACCTGAATCGCGAGCTGCGAGGCGGGATGAGGAGGGCCAAAAGCCTTCGTTCCCCTCAGCCCTCCCTCCCCGGCCCCAGCCGCCGGGGCAGGCGGGAGGGAGGATGATTGACGGAACCGCTCAGTGGCTAGGGGATTGCGGAGGGAGGGACGAACAGGGGGAACGGCGGAGCTTTCCCCTTAAACTGGTTGGGTTGGGCCTCGGGAACAGCCTCCCCCAAGCCTATTGGCCTCTCTGAACGGGTTGTTATGGTAACAAGTGACCGAACAGTCCCTTATGAATCGGCCAATGAGAGGGGCCGTCTTTTTTACCGCACCTCTGAACAGGAGGTGTTGCGAAAGCCCGGGTAGGGCCCGTAGAAGAAGGCGGTTCCAGGACGTCCTGCGGAAGGGACGAAGGCGGGGCTTGTGACGTTGCTGGCCTAGCCAATCACGCCTGGTTTTTTCAACGGCCCCGCCCTTTTACCGCACATTTCCCCTCCCCTTGCTCATTTCGCACGACGCAGCGGTTGAGAACACAGACATTTTCGGAGCTGGAGCCGCCACTGCCGCCGCCATTTTGTGTCTGTGGAGAAAGAAGCTTCTGTGGCGGCTGGAAGTGGACGGAGATCACCCCTGAGACGGCGGCGTTTCATACCCGAGGTTCCCCCTGTGTCGTCCCCCAACCCCCCTCCGCGGTCAGCATGTGGTGAAGCCGGAGCCGCGAGAGACCCGGGGAGAGGAAGAGGAGTCGGAAGGGAGGCGGGGTGTCGAGAGCGGCTTCAGCTTCAGCTGCGGCGGACCTCGGAGGGGGGCCGCGGCGCAATGTCAGAGCAGACGCCGGCCGAGGCCGGTACTGCGGGGGCCCGGGAGGACGCCTGTCGGGATTATCAATCATCACTCGAAGACCTGACCTTCAATAGCAAACCGCACATCAATATGCTGACCATTCTAGCCGAGGAGAACCTGCCCTTCGCCAAGGAGATCGTCTCTCTCATCGAGGCCCAAACCGCCAAGGTTTTTATACACCCCGCAGCCTCCTATTCTTCTAATACTCCCTGATTTTAGTGTCAGCCTCATCCCAGGTCTCGCTTCCATCCAAAGGGGGACAGTGTTCCTCCTCTCCAACCCTCCACCTCCAACTCAGGCTCGGTCTTTGGCCCAGGCTTCGAGCGTGGGCCTCTCTTGTGGGGGAGGGAGTGGGGAGGATAAAGGGTGGAGTCCCACTTCCGCTTACCAACTCCCTATTTAGGCCACCGCATTGTATATCCCGAACACACGCTTTGAATAGAGCCCTTTGGGGAGGGGGAGACTTAAAAGGCAGTTTGTGGTGTGGGGAAGTAAGAGTTAAAGCCATTTTAACCCCCGGGAGGGTGGGGAGCGGTGGTTCTCCCATTCCCAGCCCTCCCCCCACCCCCCGTACCCTTTTGGGTAATTGTGCTCTGTGGGTTGGAAGGAGGTGAAGGGGGACCTGGGAGCGAGCTGTTGGGGGGTGGGAATAGGGAATTGGCCCCGAGTGGAGCAGCCGCCTGTTAGGAGCCCAACATGGCGCCTGAAAAGCACATGATGCGAAAGGGAAGAGAGGAGAATCCATTCCCTGCCAGCCAGGCAGCTGCTCACACCCGTCAGCCCCGTTTTGGGGTGGGGGCGGCTAGATAAAACTTTTATTCTCCTATCGGAGGGTCTAATTTGCCCCAAAATACGGGAAATTGGGGGTGAGGGTGGGGTTTGGTTGGGGGGAGGAGATCTTATCCAACCTGTAGGTGGAGAACTGATCCAGTGGGTAACACGTACTTGGAGTTTTTTTTTGAAAAGTTCAGTCCCTCCTCCTCTTCCTTTTCTCTTTTTTTCCTCCCTTCCCTGATAGTGAAGACGTGCTTTTCTTCACCCCTTGACAGAAGTGGTCCTCTGCCACCCTTTATTTCCCTGTAGTCCTCCTCTTCTGTGGATTCATGTGGGAGCGATATGTCATTTAAGTTACTGTTAAACTTAGTTATCGTAATGAGTTTTAATAGCTTCCCAGTATTACGTTCTTGTTTTTCAAGCTTGTACTTATGGTTTAGTTTTTTCTAGTTGTTAGTGATTGAAATTAACAGGATGAGCCTCCTTTTAGCAGAGTGAACCCCTTTTAAAAGGCCACTTTAACAACAACCACCAATATATTGTTTAGAGGCGGTTTCTGTCTAGTGTACAACTGAGTGGTCTGACTCTAATAAATGGTTTTGAAATGTGTGACTGGTATTATAAAATTTGTGAATAAAACATATAAAATATGTACTTGTCTTTTTTATTTACCTTTGTAAGGTGTAGAATCTGTTTCCAAGACTTATTTTTATCTACGTGGTTGTGTGTTTTAAACAAAAGTCTTTAAGTGACTTGGGTTCATTCTTTAGGTTCCATCCACTCTTTTGGGTAAATCTGTTCACAAGATACACGGTTTCAGGTGGTCCTTTCATACCTTAATTTAAAGAGGACAAAAAGTAAAGGTTTTTTGTTTTGTTTTGTTTTTAAGGGCCCAACAAGTTTGTCATTCTCAGTCTGACAGCTAAAATCCAAGTCTTCATTCACCTTTTCCTGTGAATGTCTGTGAAACAGCTATTGTTTTTTTAAAGTATGAGACTTAAAAAGGAAGCATTCCTCATACTCAACATCCTTTTTATTGATACCACAAACATGTTGGACGTGAAAACTTAGTTTTTGCCTTGTTGAAGGCTTAACTTGACATTGAATGCCTTTTTTAAAAAACAAAACCATTTTTTTGATAACATTGATTTTAAAAAATCTAGTATTTTTGGGATTACTAATATTCCACAGAGCCTAATATTTAGCAGTTCAGGTTGTCACTCAACAGTTTCCTTGCTGGTTTTTAATGGATCCGGAAGACCTTCGAGAAGTGAAAACTAAATGCTGACTATAGTGATCACATTAAAATTTGTATTTGTGTATGGCTACACGAGTGGTGAAAATAGATGGACTATTTGCTGATAAAAGCTGAAAATTTTTTTGGCACACGTTTCCTGGTTATTTTTGGAAAGCCAGGTTGAGGAAAAGATGTAAAAGTCACTGGGGAAATAATCAGGGTTGGGGTTGAGGGTGAGGGGAGGGATTGTCTGTCATTTGGTAGCAAACTGGCTTGGTTTTGTGTTTTCTGGAGGTGAATGTTTGTGTCCTTATTCTCTAGCGTCTCAGCATTACTAAACTTAAGGATTCACACCTAATTTGACTCCTCCCATGAGGCAGTAGTAGTGAAAAAATATTACATACGGGATTCACTTGTACAATAAAAAATTAGCCTACTGAACAGATTTTGGTTTAAAAGAGAGCCTGTCTTCATAAGTACAACAATGACTAAAATGGTGTAAAACATGACATGGTAAGATAAAGACACAGCAATAAAGCATTTGACATGTTGGTATTTACTAGTTTACCCACATGCAGTGGCCTTGTGAACCCTTTTATTAGAAAGGACCGTAAAAGAAATTTTTCATACAAAGCTATTCAAAGGTTTCCTTGGCCAACTTTGGTTGTAAAGGTGTTATCAGAAGCAAGAGCACTTCCACACACTTGTATGGGCAATTGGTTTTGTGAAATAATGGCATTGTGTACTGCAGAACTGTGAGCCTACCCTAGCTACAGGTAGCTATGGGTAAGTGTTCAGGGTTAAGATTCCGATACACATGGGCTGGGTAAATGGGGATGATTTTTTTGTTTTTGTTTCTAAATCATGGGTGCTCCTGTGGAGTCGGAGTTAACACTTAGTTTATATGGTGTGTCTTAATGCTCCTCAAGTCTGTGAACCTGCTGTGCTTTCTGGAAACTTGATGTACATTCTAAAAGCCAGTGGTGGGTAGGCATTGCAGTTGAACTGGGGCAACATTGCTTTGCTTTGGAAAGGGCTACCTGTATGAGCATCACCACACTGGCGTTGCACAAATTTAGAAACCCTGGTTTGTGCATGTCAGAGGAAAAATATTTCGACGGAGAGTCCATGCTGTGAAGAAAATCTTCAGGACAAATCCTGGTTTCCAGAGTCAAGTTCGACCTGATTTACATGACTCAGCAGCTGCTCCATCCAGTTTTTCTTGTATCAGTAACAACTTGCACCTTCCTGCATGTTCATGTGCAAGTTTAAGAGTGTTTTTTGCCATTAACTTCATATGTGAAGTGTACTTAATTTCTTTGTTCATTGGATTATAAAGAAGTAATCCTAATGATTTTACAGGTAACAAAAGTGTCATAGACTTTTAACATATAAAATATGCCTATGGAAATTAGGGTTTCTGCCAGAAGTCTGGAAACTTCCTTGAGTCTAGGCACACTATAATAAGTTAATGTCACAAAACTTACACTTGGGTTACAGAAAATACCCCTACCACCCCGTGGTCACTTAAAACACAGGTCTTTTGTTTTGTTTCTTTACCATATGAACCTGAAATTCCATTGAGCGTTAAATGAATGTATTAAAGGTTACAGTTTTTCTTGTAGTTCTGAGCTTATTTTATATGCTCAACTAAAGATCATTGTAAGAGATGAGAACTTGGTTGAACATTTAAGTTTCATAAAGGTTAATTCAAAAGTATTTAGTGTCAACAAAAATAGAAGTCTGTATTGTAGGTTTGAAACCTCACTTTTAAAAGTAATTCTATGGTATGGTGACAATTCATTATACTAAACTTCTCAGTTTCTTTTTATCACTTCAGGCTCCTTCCTCAGAGAAGCTTCCTGTTATGTACCTTATGGATTCTATCGTGAAAAACGTTGGAAGAGAGTATCTCACTGCCTTTACTAAAAATCTAGTTGCAACATTTATTTGTGTGTTTGAAAAGGTATATATGCATTTAGAAACATTTGAATTTTTTTAAAAAAATGTGTTCCTGATTAAATAAATACTTGTCTTTGTGTTGGGTTTTCTTGGGTGGTGAAATGTTTTATTCTCTTGGATCTTTATCAAGTACCATGCTAAAGTTAGTATTTTATGTTAGATTTTTAGAGCAGATTTTAGGGGTTTTACATTATCCGTTCAAGAATAGATGGGTTTGCTTTTAGAATTTGTTTTGTTTTTAATTGAGTTTGTTCATTTGATTGAAGATCTGTTCCATCACTAGGACGTGGGCAAAAAGATCTGAAGCTGTCAAAGAGTACTTCAAATTTCATTGTTTAGGTTTTTGGTGTTAGGATGTTGACTATTCCTATCTGAAAAAGAAAAGCATAATCTTCCAGTGTCTCAACCTGTGATTGGTGCCTGAAACTTTTGTGATTTTTTTTTTTCTTGAAATGTTTCCTCTTGTTACTTTGTTCAAGTGTGTTTTATGTGAATGTTCTAGGTATGTGTGAATGGTGGGCCAGTTAATTGCTTTAGGTTATTTTTGATATAATTTTAACCCCCACTTAGTGTTTAGAAGAAAGGCTTGTTAGTTTCTATACCTAGAGATTGCAAATTCCTTCCATAACATTGTATCTGGTATTTTGGTTAATAGAGTATTATGTTGAGGAAGACAAGGGATTTGCTGGAGTAATCCTCTTCCTGGAAGGCTTTATCTTTCACACGAGCAAAAGGACATTTATAAGCAGTTTAGTTTTAAATATTGTTTCCTAACAAAAAATTGGTAGTTCTTTTATTAGCTGCATTTGTGTTTGGAGAAATCTTACAGTTGTCAGACTTGGAGAATTGGGATTATTTTGAAAGAACTATTACGGGATTTTACTTGTTTGTTAGAACAAAATGTGTAGCTGCTACTTGGAGTAATTTTTTTTCTTCTAAGTTCCTAAAAAAAAATACTGTTAGTATATTGCAGAAGAAATTTGGAAAGCTGTATTTCAAATTGTATTAAGGAACTTGTTAATTAATAGTATATTGTAGACCTTGGCTAAATACTGCTTACCTGAAGCTGTAGTCTGAGGAGAAGCCGACTTCGTATTAAAGAAGTTGGGGAGCTAAACCAGCCTCTCGGTTTCAGTTTCATTAATGTTCAAATTTAGTTGGGTGTTTGGTTAGAATACCTTTTACTGAATCTAATAGGGCCTTGACACTGCATTTGATGAAAATGGCTTTATAGTAAGTATAATTCTTTAAAGACTCGAATATTGTCAAGGCTTTATCCTAAAGTTAAAATTCTAACTCAGTTTCCCCAAGTACTAGGTTTCTCTGATAGCTAGTTTTTGAATATTGTTATTCCCATCAGCAGCATGAGCAGATAAATTATATAAAACTGAAGCTCCTCAGTGGGTAAGATTTTTGTGAATTTCAATTTTTAAGGTGCCTTTCACACCACAAATAACTCATTCATATCTGCGAACCAAATTGTATTGCAGAAAATTGGTTAGTGAGATAGTTTTGTTTTAATAAAATTTAAGCCATCAGGTGAACTATTTTCTAGTTGTTCTACACTTTTGTTCGGAGTAAGAGTAACATAAGGAATGCTGTATCAAGCCCTAAAATTTGGAAACATTTTGTACCATTAAAAAATACAAAGAACTGCTTAGTTGTTTGCTTTCATACAGGCTAGGGGATAGTGACTAATTTTTCTAATATTTTTTTGAGGGAGAAATTTATTAACTTTATGTTTACAAACAAAATATACCTTTAATAAGTAATTACTATCGTATATGTTTGTGGATGAGTAGTATGTTTGCTGTATTGAGTAGAACAGAGATTTACGTAGCTTTAATACTTAATATTTAAAACATTCTATAGTAACTTAACAAGCCATAGAATTGTTCTGTTGTTCTAGGTGGATGAAAATACTAGAAAAAGTTTATTTAAATTACGTTCCACATGGGATGAAATATTCCCTTTGAAGAAACTTTATGCCCTGGATGTCAGAGTCAATTCGTTAGATCCTGCTTGGCCTATTAAACCTCTGCCCCCCAATGTGAATACATCTAGCATCCATGTGAATCCTAAATTTTTAAATAAATCGGTAAGTTTTAATATGAATTTTATCTAAAATTTCTTGCTAGAAAGAAATCTCAAGAATACCCTGTGCTGAATCCGTTTAGTTAAAAAAAAAAATGTTTTTCCACTCAGGTTCACAGTGCATTTAAGAATACATTCTCCTTTTTTGGGTATCACATAATATACTTCCTTTGGTTTTTAAGTTTTTGAAAAATTTTCTGTGTGCTTATAAACGATTGGCCATTTATGATTATGGATAGTAGTTAAGAAATAAGCTGATAATTTTTAGTTTCCCCTTAGCTTCTTTTTAGCTGTGAAATATATTTTTTTAACCCACTGTTTTTTCTTATAGCCTGAAGAGCCTTCAACACCTGGCACAGTGGTCAGTTCCCCTAGCATCTCCACTCCTCCAATTGTTCCTGATATACAAAAGAATCTTACCCAAGAACAACTAATAAGGCAGCAGTTACTGGCAAAACAAAAACAGTTGTTAGAACTTCAGCAGAAAAAGCTAGAGCTTGAGCTAGAGCAAGCTAAGGCACAACTGGTAAGTAGAGGATATTTGGCATTTTAAATATTTTAAACCTGTCTTCTGATAGAGAAGTAATTATTATTTTGTGTTTGAATTGTATGAGCATGTTATTTTTATTAGTAGTGTATTCTTTTTCTACTTCTATTTTGCAGATTATGGTATGTTAGACCAAATTTTTAATTCCTTATTGTAAAGGTCACTTGAATGTAAACTACACTGTTTTCTTTCAAATACTTTTCTATTAAATTGCCATATTTTAAGATAGCATCTTAGTTTTATTAACATACCATGTGAATTTTAATACGTGTCCCAAGATGGTAGGTGTGTTGTTTTTGCATAATCTTTAATGTTTTATGAGTTTAGGTTTCATGAGTAGAGATCTGGTTCTTAGAAGCCTACAAAAGGGGGTGCCTGGGTGACTCAGTCGTTAAGTGTCTGCCTTTGGCTCAGGTCATAATCCCAGAGTCCTGGGATCAAGCCCCTCATTGGGCTCCCTGCTCAGCAGGAAGCCTGCTTCTCCCTTTCCCACTCCCCCTGCTTGTGTTACTTCTCGCACTGTGTCTCTCTCTGTCAAATAAATAAATAAAATCTTTAAAAAAAAAAAAGAAAAGCCATCACAACACTAAGGAGGGCAGGAAGATTACATATTTCCTTGCATGAATAACCTTTTACTAAGTTATTTTACTTACCACCTGAATTTGAGAGTAAGGAAGTACAGGAAGGCAAAATTTTATAAGTTCATCATCATTGACATTAGGAAGATCTAAATTTTGACCTAAAATTTAGCTGGAATGACTCTTGACACTTGTGCACTTGGAGTGCAGTGATTTATTTAGCAGTTTCTTAGTAGAAGTCTGGCTAGGAATACTGAATAATTAAGAAGATGGAGAATTTTTTTTTTCATTCTACTTAAAGATTATATTATAAAAACCCTAGAGTAAGTAAAGGACTAGTAAGAAATAAGAAGTCCCATAATCTCTTCTTTTCATTTTAATCTCTACTTGAACACTAGAAGTATACAGTGTAAATGTAGTATTGAATGGATTTATTGAATAAACATTACATTCTTTAGTTTTTGATTTCCTGACAAATAATCTGCATGTTTTATGTATTAACATGAACATTTATTTTTGTATTTCAGGCAGTTTCTCTTAGTGTTCAGCAGGAGACATCCAACTTAGGTCCTGGATCTGCACCATCCAAATTACATGTTCCACAAATTCCCCCTATGGCAGTTAAACCTCCCCATCAGGTTCCTGTGCAACCTGAGAAAAGCCGTCCAGGTCCATCCTTACAAATTCAGGATTTGAAAGGAACTAATCGGGATCCCCGTCTTAATAGGATGAGTCAACATTCTTCACATGGAAAAGATCAGAGTCACAGGAAAGAATTCCTAATGAACACATTGAACCAATCTGATACTAAGACAAGTAAAACTGTACCCTCTGAAAAACTAAATTCATCCAAGCAAGAGAAAAGTAAATCAGGTGAAAAAATAACCAAGAAAGAACTTGACCAATTAGATTCTAAATCTAAATCTAAATCTAAATCACCATCACCTTTGAAAAACAAATTATCCCACACAAAGGACCCGAAAAATCAAGAATCTGAAAGTGCAAGGGTGTCTGATATGAGCAAGCGAGATCCAAGGTTAAAGAAACATCTTCAGGATAAGACTGATAGCAAAGATGATGATGTAAAAGAGAAGAGAAAAACTGCAGAAAAAAAGGATAAAGATGAGCACATGAAATCATCTGAACACAGATTGGTTGGAAGTAGAAATAAAATCATCAATGGCATTGTACAAAAGCAGGATACAATAACGGAAGAATCAGAAAAACAAGGGACAAAACCAGGGAGATCAAGTACTAGAAAGCGATCAAGATCGAGATCACCCAAGTCTCGGTCACCAATTATACATTCTCCGAAGAGAAGAGATAGGCGGTCACCCAAACGAAGGCAAAGGAGTATGTCTCCAACCTCGACACCCAAAGCTGGAAAGATTCGGCAATCAGGAGTTAAGCAGTCACACATGGAAGAGTTTACTCTACCCTCCAGGGAAGAGCGGAATGCTAAGAGAAGTAATAAACAAGATATTCGAGATCCAAGGAGATTAAAAAAGACTGAAGAGGAACGACCACAAGAAGCTGCAAATCAGCATTCTATGAAGTCAGGCACTGAACCAAAGGAGAATGTAGAAAATTGGCAAAGTTCCAAGTCTACCAAAAGATGGAAATCTGGTTGGGAAGAAAATAAAAGGTAGGATGTTAATATTTTTAATCAAGTAAAATAAATTGTACCTTTTAAAATAGAGTGATATTTAAAAGTTGGGTAATACTTACTGGATGCTATAGTTAGTACTTAATTTTTCCATTTATTTCTTAACTCTGTGGGTGAAATACCATTATTCCTGTTTTACAGATAATGAAACTGAAGTTTAGAAAGGTTAATCTACATAAAGCTGCACATCTAGGACATGCAAGAATTAGAATTCATGTTTGATTTTTCCTGACTTCAGATTTTGCGCTCTTAATCATTTAGTAAACTTTTATAGTTAAATAATTTGTTTAACCAGATCCTTTGGTTAAAAAAATTTAAAAATTTTTTATGAAGTAACATACTGCTTTTATGGTTTCAGCTTACAACAGGGTGATGAACATAGTAAATCTCCTCATCTAAGGCATAGGGAGAGCTGGTCAAGCACTAAAGGAATCTTGTCACCTCGAGCCCCAAAGCAGCAGCATCGATTAAGTGTAGATGCCAACCTTCAGATTCCTAAAGAGTTAACTCTTGCAAGCAAAAGAGAATTACTTCAAAAGGTAGTTAACTATGATCACATGTAGTCGTTACTCTCTTTTGTCTAAGTTTTTTTTGTAAGTACTTTTTATATTTAAAATATCTGATTTCCTTTTATCACCCCTACACAGACGAGTGAACGTTTAGCATCTGGTGAAATTACACAGGATGAGTTCCTTGTTGTTGTGCATCAAATTCGACAGCTATTTCAGTATCAAGAAGGTAAACATAGATGCAATGTACGGGATAGTCCTACAGAAGAAAATAAAGGTGGATTAAAAAAGAAACCTCTCTTATCTGATGCTGAATTAACCTACTATGAACATAAAGCAAAACTGAAAAGGACACAGGTTCAGCATTCATTTCCAAGACTTGATCTCTTAGATCCTGATATTTTTGACTACCCTTTGACTGATGCCTTGTTGTCTGGAATAGAATGTGAGCCATCCAAAAGTAAACATGCAAGTAGGAATAGTGGAGCACAGTTTGACAGAAAAGAACAATTTAGTGAAAGAGCAAGACGTCTTTCTCCTATATCTGGGAGTCGTACTTATGCTGAGAATCTTTCACCCCATGAGGGCCGGAGAAGACATGACGAGCAAGTCTCTGCTAAAGGTAGAAAAAGTTAAATCAGATTATCCCTATTGAATCACACAGCAGTGAAGGGAAAATGAACAAGCTAAGTGGGGATGGATTTTTGTGACTGTTCAGACTACCTTTTATTTGTTTTGTTTCATTTTTTCCCCTCAAAGGGAAGGGAAGGGAGCTAATATTTACTAGGCCACTCTATGTGTTAGGTACTTTACTTAGGTTCTTTATATATGTAATCTGATTTAATCCTCACAACAACCCAATTAAATATATATTATCCCATTTTATAGTAGGAATCAAGACCAGAGAGGTTAAGTAACTTGCTCTCAAAGTCAAATAATTAGTTGACAGAATGGGAATTTTTTTTTTTTTAAACCCAGGTGTGTCTGACTCTAGCGGGCGTCCTCTTACCTGCTGCTTGATTATGCTGTCTTTTCCTTCCCCTGTAATGAAGTGAGATAGTTTTGGTTATTTTTGGCTAAACATTTACATGAAAATAGAAGATTGAAGATATTTTGATAAAAATTCAGATTCAGGGAAAGTAACTTTTTTTTTCCTTTTTAAAAGGTGTACGAGAAGAGCAGAGATCACCATTCAATGATCGTTTTCCACTTAAGCGACCTAGATATGAAGATTCAGATAAACCATTTGTAGATAGCCCAGCATCAAGATTTGCCGGCCTTGATACAAATCAGCGACTTACAGCTTTAGCTGAAGATAGACCATTATTTGATGGACCTAGTAGGCCATCAGTAACAAGAGATGGCCCAACCAAGATGATTTTTGAAGGACCTAATAAATTAAGCCCTAGAATTGATGGACCTCCTACACCAGGTTCTCTTCGGTTTGATGGGTCACCAGGACAAATGGGGGGAGGTGGCCCTTTGAGATTTGAAGGACCACAAGGTCAGTTAGGAGGTGGGTGTCCTTTGAGATTTGAAGGTCCTCCAGGACCAGTAGGGACACCTCTGCGGTTTGAGGGGCCAATTGGTCAAGCAGGAGGAGGTGGTTTTCGGTTTGAAGGTTCCCCTGGTCTGAGGTTTGAGGGATCTGCAGGTGGTTTGAGATTTGAAGGACCAGGGGGCCAGCCTGTGGGTGGTCTCAGGTTTGAGGGACATCGGGGTCAACCTGTGGGTGGTCTAAGGTTTGAGGGACCTCATGGTCAGCCTGTGGGTGGACTTAGATTTGATAATCCCCGAGGTCAGCCTGTCGGTGGACTTAGATTTGAAGGGGGTCATGGTCCATCAGGGGCTGCAATTAGGTTTGATGGACCTCATGGTCAGCCAGCAGGTGGGATCAGATTTGAGGGCCCTTTGCTACAGCAGGGAGTTGGAATGAGGTTTGAGGGCCCCCATGGTCAGTCAGTAGCTGGTTTGAGGTTTGAAGGACAACATAATCAACTTGGTGGGAACCTTAGGTTTGAGGGTCCACATGGTCAACCAGGGGTTGGGATCAGGTTTGAAGGACCGTTAGTCCAACAAGGAGGTGGAATGAGGTTTGAGGGTCCTTCTGTGCCAGGAGGTGGCCTGAGAATTGAAGGGCCTCTGGGTCAAGGTGGTCCAAGATTTGAAGGTTGTCATGCTTTAAGGTTTGATGGGCAGCCAGGTCAGCCATCACTCTTGCCAAGATTTGATGGACTGCATGGGCAGCCAGGTCCTAGATTTGAAAGAACTGGTCAGCCAGGCCCACAGAGATTTGATGGACCACCTGGACAGCAGGTACAACCAAGATTTGATGGTGTACCTCAAAGATTTGATGGTCCACAACACCAGCAAGCATCAAGGTTTGATATTCCTCTTGGTCTTCAAAGCACACGATTTGACAATCATCCTTCACAGAGGCTTGAATCAGTATCTTTCAATCAGACTGGTCCATACAATGATCCACCTGGCAATGCTTTTAATGCCCCATCCCAAGGACTACAGTTCCAAAGACATGAACAAATGTTTGATTCACCTCAAGGACCAAATTTTAATGGACCACATGGCCCTGGAAACCAGAGCTTCTCCAGTCCCCTTAACAGAGCTTCTGGACACTATTTTGATGAAAAGAATCTTCAGAGTTCCCAATTTGGAAACTTCGGCAATTTACCTGCTCCAATAACAGTAGGAAATATTCAGGCATCTCAACAGGTAAGTCTGCTGCAGTTACTCTAGAGTGATGTTATGCGGATATGAACTGTTTTCAATATTTCTGGATATTTACATAGCAACATACAGAAGTCCCACTTCACTCTGGACAACAAATACAATATTTGTACGTCTGTACAGTAGTTTGTCTTTTACAATCTACTTTGCAATGCAGAGTATGATGTCCAAGCAGAATGATCAAAAGAATTTATAGATTAATTAAAGCAAGCTTTTGATATCTGCGGGAAAGAGGTTAGGAGTTCTGGCCTCAGCTTTGCTATTAACTAGCTGTTACGATTGTGTACAGGTCACATTTCTGGGCATCAGTTCTATTTGTAAAATAAGGGAAAGCACTAGTAAAGGGATTTGTGTAAGGTCACACAGCTTGTTGGCTACCTTAAGTTTGCATAGTATCTTAAACTTTTCTAAGAAGCTTCACATTCATTCTCAATTCCTTATGCTATGAAATGGGTAAGGGAAGGTATTATTTTTCCTTTTTTGTAGAAAGTCTAGAAATGAAGCAACCCAGTCAAGTTACACTTGTAAATTTTTATTATAGAAACGAGGCCTTATGATATCTTCAGTATTTTTATATGTTTAGATTGTTAAAGTTTTAGTTAAAATATAGAAAGGATGTTCTTAAAACCAAGGTTTCTCTTAAAGGTTCTTACTGGTGTTGCTCAGCCAGTAGCATTTGGCCAAGGACAACAGTTTTTGCCAGTTCATCCACAAAATCCTGGAACATTTGTTCAGAATCCTTCAGGTATGTACTTTCTGAACTTTGTGTTTTTTCGAACAAATATTGTTTTGTTGAGTAGCTACTTTGTCAATTTTATGAAATGACAATTTTCAGAGGGCATATATAATTTAGAGAAATTTAAGCTGGCTGGAATTTTTTGTTCTCTTTCTGAGTTTACATTGTTTATGTATATTCACACTGATCCTGTTTACAACTAGAGGTGGTTAACCAGGATTTTGTAGACCATAAAAAGAGAAGGGAGAAGTTTGGGGGGTGGGGTAGGAGGGTGACATTTGTATTGAGGTCAAATGAAATAAATGATAAACCTCAGAAATCTCAATTATTTGATATTTTGAGGTTTTGTGTGTGTGTGTGTATGTGATGATCCAGTAAACATTAAGTGAATACTGGGGATATTGCCTTATAAAGTTGATTAATTCATATGTCTTTATGGGCTCTCAAATAATAATTGTACACGATATGTTAAAAAAAAAAGAAGTAGAAATGGGGCATCTGGCTGGCTCAGTCGGTAGAGCATGTGACTCTTGATCCAGAGGTCGTGAGTTCAAGCTCCACATTGGGCCTAGAGCTTACTTAAAAATAAAACAAAAAGTAGAAAAAAGCTGTGACTCCCTAGCCAGGTCCCCTAATAAGCTCTTTTGTTACTATGGGGTGAGGCATAACAGTATTGCTATGGATATAATAACAATATTGGATAAGAGAGCTTTAAAAGTGAATTTTAGTTTCAATATAAGAAAAATGGGAAGTATATAAATTACGGTGATTTATAAAACAACTGCAAAGTTTTAGTGTACTGAAAACTAGCCCAGCCAAATTGTAGCGGTACTTGCTTTATTTCTGAATCAGTAAAACAGACGTTTTCAGAAACATGCTCTAGCATGGCACTATTTAACTTATAAATTTAGGGAGTTTTCCAAAACTTATGAAGTAACTAGGGAAGTCCTAGTCAAGCTCTAGTTTATGCTTTAGTTCTTAAACTGTGGCATCGCAAGAATTCATTCAATTGATTTGAAAGTTTTTTAAAAAACTTTCTGGATTGACAATTAGGATTAATTAATTTTTTTTAAATGTTTTTTTGTTGTCACTATAATGAAAAGGGAAGTAAAGAATTGGGATCTAAAATCAGACCAGGGTCTTAGAAGCTATACTTTACTACTATTTTTTTTTTTTAAAGATTTTTTATTAATTATTTGACAGAGAGATACAGCGAGAGAGGGAACACCAACAGGGGGAGTGGGAGAGGGAGAAGCAGGCTCCCCGCAGAGCAGGGAGCCCAATGCGGGGCATGATCCCACCCTGGGATCATGACCGGAGCCGAAAGCAGACGCTTAAGAACTGAGCCACCCAGGCGCCCCTATACTTTCCTACTTTATAGGTGGGCAGGATATAAGCAAATATCCTCTCTGTGATTCAACTGCTTCCTCTGTAGTCAGGAGACAATAAAGTCAGTATTTGCCTGGGAATTTTTTTTTAAGAGATTCAAATAAGGTAGTATATGCAAAAGTACTTTGTAACTTCTGCTGTATTAATATGTTTTCCTTTAGAACTCAAGTTTTTCTTGTTGAGTAGAGGCTTTGTTGTGTTGGGGTTGGTGGCATGAGATAGTGTGCAAAAATTGCAAATTTTTTTCCTTTTTGTAGGAGATAAAAAGGCTGCAAATTTTCTTTTTGTGTTTGTAACCTTGGGGTGCATGTGTATACATACAGGGCATAGACACGTCACAGGAAATCACATGTTTTTCTTCTAGGTTGGAGGTATTGAGATGTTAGATATGCCTTCCTTCTTCAAGTTGTTCTTACTATTAAAGAGATGTGAAAAGTATTCATTGTTCTATATTCAGCTTCTCTTAAAGTTTCTTCTCTAAAATGAAAGTAAAAACACCTCTTCCTTAGTAGTAAATAGACTTATATGTTCATTTATTCATTCATTTGTTTATTTTTTAAAAAAAGATTTGAGAGAGAGAGCAGGGGGAGGGGCAGAGGGAATCAATCTCAAGCAGACTCTCTGCTGAGCCCGACCCTGAAATCCCAACCCGAGCTGAAATCAGTAGTTGGAAGCCCAACTGACTGAGTCACCAGGCACCCCATGTTCATTTGTTTATTTAAACATATTGATCATTTGCTGTATGCCAGGCATTGTGCTGGGATGATACTTATTTATAGTGTAGCAGGATTTATTGACTTTTTTTTTTTAAGATTTTATTTATTGGGCACCTGGGTGGCTCAGTTGGTTAAGCGACTGCCTTCAGCTCAGGTCATGATCCTGGAGTCCCAGGATCGAGTCCCGCATCGGGCTCCCTGCTGGGCGGGGAGTCTGCTGCTCCCTCTGACCCTCCCCCGTCTCATGTGCTCGCTCTCTCTCTCATTCTCTCTCTCTCTCAAATAAATCTTTAAAAAAGAGATTTATTTATTTGAGAGAGAGAGAGAGTGAGGAGAGGGGGAGAGGGGCAGAGGGATAAGCACACTCCCCACTGAGCATGGAGCCTGACCTGGGGCTTGATCCCAGGACCCTGAGATCATGACCTGAGCCAAAGGCAGATGCTTAACTGACTGAGCTACCCAAGTGCCCCACTATTGACCTTTTTTTAAACAGTAAACACTATATTTAATTCCAAACCCCTCATTGCCTTACAAATAATTAATTTATTTAATCCTAATAACAACCTTAGGCAAGAACAGTTATTATTACCCTTTTGTAAAACTGAGGCACAATAATAAGCAACCTGGTCATGTCACACAACTAGAAAGTGGAATTTCTAGTTAGAATCCCTGGTGTCTGGTTCCATAGTTCATGCCCTTCATCACTAAACTTGGCTGCCTGCAGACTTGTGGATAGCTAGTTACAACTCTGAAACATATATAGCTAATTCTAATAAAATACAAATGTTTATAGTGTGTGAAATGCTGTTGTAACTGACTCTTGAGGCTAATTTATTCATATATTCAGACATTTCATTTCAACAGATATTAATCTACCTCTGTACAAGGGGCTAAGTGTAGAGTATGCGGTGGTTATGTGTATTGTGGATGCAAACTGAATTTTCTCCCTTTAAGAGCAGTTTGTAGTAGTTCAGAACTTTTTTCTAGAGGTATTGGGAGGTGCATAATAGTGACATACAGATACATTAAAGTACTGTGTTTGCAGTTGATTTAAAGAATAGTAATTATTAGATTAGTGCTTAGCAAAATATGTAAGACTGATTTGCCTCACCAATGAGCTTTAAAGAGAAGACTTATCCTTGTCGCATTTAGTCAAATTATTGAAGCTTTAATAACCGTGACACCTGTTCAGCAGTAGTCTGGGCTGCTTTGCAATTGTAGTACTTCAGCAAAGGTCAGAGGGGCAGGTATACTCTGAGCCACATGGCTCATCTTCGTTCCCCTGGGTAGTCATGGGAGGAGGATAGGGGGCAGGAATACTTTCACTTAGGCTTTGGGTTATTTTTTTTCCCTCCTGGAAATGTGCTGAGAGATAGCAATCTATTCATCTGTACAAAACTATCTTTCCCAGTGTGGTTAGAAGATGAGAAATAGAAAATTAGAAAGGTGGAAGTTGGGTCTAGAGGTGGTGCTGCATTAAGTCGAAGGGAGCATGAGACTTTCTGTTCTGTGTATTCTGCTTTTCTTTGGCATGGATTTAATTATGCAAAAGTAGGTAATTTTTTTTTTAAGATAATACATACAAAGTACTTATAAATACTTACAAAGTATCAGTGTTTTCAGTGTTAGCTTTTAGTATTTATCCTAGAATATATTTTTAAGAGATGATGACTTGCTAACCTAAATGAAAACTTCATTTTAGGAGCTTCTGAGATAATTACACTCATCCTTAACAAGATTTTTTCAAACTTATTGTTAATAAGGCATCTTGAAGAAAACTTTAAAAAATGCTTAGTATCATATGCATCTTTAAGTTCTTTCAATTAAGAGTGTTATTTTTTTGAAGGAGCTCTTCCTAAGGCATATCCTGATAATCATCTCAGTCAGGTGGATGTAAATGAATTATTTTCAAAACTGCTAAAAACAGGAATTCTCAAATTGTCTCAGCCTGATTCAGCTACAACACGTAAGTATGGTTCTGTACTTCACTATACAAAATTTCACTAAGTTATAAAGATGTATGTATAATATGCTGATACAAGTTATAAAAGTTCTTGCAATAAGAACTTTTTATTTTTTTCTGAAAATCAAATAAAATTGGTTTATAATGAAATTCTTCAAAAATTTTCTAAGATGGCACTAATACCTTTATAGTGCACATTGTTTCAATTAACATTCCTGCAAATGTCATGTGCAGATTCTTCACTAGGTATTCTTCATTAATTTAGCTTTTTAAAATAATTTGAATATTGATGAAATAAAATTTCATGAAAATTGACTTTTAAGAAATCATACCTAGTATTGCTTATCAAAATAAAGAATTGTATTCATTTTCTTGGCCAGTAAATACAATGAATAGACAAGATGGGATTCTCTATGCTTACAATACACAATAGTGTTCCCCTATAATAAGAATGCTTAGAGAATGGTATTGAGAAAATTTTTTTTTTTACTTGAAGAAGTGAATGAAGTTGCTGCTCAGCCTCCCCCTGAAGAGGAGGAGGATCAAAATGAAGATCAAGATGTTCCAGATCTTACTAATTTTACAGTTGAAGAATTGAAACAGTATGTAATCTGATTTTCTTATTTTCCAAGATAAAAAGGACAGTGACTTTAATTAAACAGTGGATATTATTATTAGTGCTATTCATTTTACCCCTCTTATTGTTTATAAAATTTAGGAAACAGGTTTTTTTTTAAACCAGTTTTAAGTTTTTAAATTCTCTTTTAAAATATGTCTGCTGCACAAGTATTTAGGCCAAAAGGTGTTCTCTAAATTACTATTTTTTACTATCTGTGTTTGGTACAGTAAATATGGGGAATTAAAATATTAGCTATTGATAATCATGTCTTCCTTTTATATCTTCATTTCTCTTTAATCATTATATTTTCTTTATTTGATAGTCTTGTGCTTTTGAAGGTATGAAAATGAGATTTTTATAGTCTAGTATTTAAATTTTTAAAAAATCTATTTTCATTTCCTAAGTAATACATGTTCATTGTAGAGCATTAGAAAATTCTGAGATGCCTGGCTAGCTCAGTCTGTAGAATATGCAACTCTTGATCTCAGGGTCAAGAAAATAAAATTAACCTACAACCTACATTTCTCACTTATAACCAATCATTTAACATTTGGTGCATATTTTTTCCCAATATTCTATTGCCTGTATCACTCATATAAAAATACTTAAAAAAAAAAGTGCTTTATGGACTCATTATATCCTCATGGGTACTTTATAAAAATACAGGCACCTAGTGGTTATACCTTTTAAAATAAAGTTTTTTTCCAAAGTAATTCACATAATTAAAGTTTTATAACGAAAGGCTTACAATAAAGGCTTATAATAAAAGATGGCATCCTTTCTTCTGGTACTAGTCTTCACCCAGAATCATTTTTTAACCATTTTTAACTCTTTAGTTATGGTTCCTTACATTTATTTCTCTATTTCTTAAAAGATACATATTTTTCTGATTTGTCACATTTCTTGATTTATCACATTTAGACACTCTCTTGACTTCTTGAAAATGAAGATTGAGCTAGCTCTTTTATTGTTTTACCAACTCTTCCTCATGTAGTTATAAAACCATTTTTTATCAAATCATAATTCAGTATTAACAGTTAATAACTGCCATCTTTGTTCAGTTAGTTGGTCTGTATACCTATTTCTTTCCAAATAGGGAGCCCAGAATTTTAAGGATTGATGCTGACCTCAGTTTGCCATTAGTCTAATTTTTCTTTTTAGTAATCTGTACTATCATTATTTCTTCTGTACTACATTGACCTTTCTTTAGATGAGGGGTGGGGCAGTTAGCAGATGATCATTCCCATTTTTAGCTAGAAAGGAAGTAACTGCACCAGTCCTATCAATAAGAGGATAGACTCCCATGTTCTAAAATTCAGTTATTTTAAAGAGGGTTAATGACACACTATTAGAGAATAATACTGATCTTTGGGGTATTGTTTCAGCCGGCTTTTGGCTGAAACATTATTTTGTAACATAATAATGACTTCACCATTATTAAAATATGGAAAACTGAAATATTTGTAACTGTCTTTTTTTTAAAGGCCATTTAGCCATGTTATCAAAACTAAAGATGATTTCTGTGTTTTTCAAAATAGACGTTATGATAGTGTTATAAATCGACTGTACACTGGTATTCAGTGTTACTCCTGTGGAATGAGGTTTACAACATCACAGACAGATGTATACGCAGATCACTTGGACTGGCATTATCGGCAAAATAGAACTGAAAAAGATGTTAGCAGAAAAGTCACTCATAGACGTTGGTACTACAGTTTAACGGTAAGTAATCAGTATACCTCCAAACCATCTTTTAACCTTTAAATCACATCGTTCTATAAGTGTATTAGTTTAAAAAATTGCTGGGAGGTATTTCATGAATTTTCTGAATAGAATTTGACCCCTAGAATATAAAAGGTATCTTTAAATAAATTTGAAGAGTATATGTTTCTTCTAACTCTAAAATTCTAATTTTTCTGTGACTTTTTTTGGTAAAAAAAATTGTATGTGAAATTTATCTTGTTTAGATCAGTAGTTGTAATTCTAGAGGTAATGGAAAATGAACATTAAGATCTTAATTTTTCAGTAGTTGCTTTATGTAGTCTATTAGTTATGGGGGTCATAGAGAAAGTATAATTTAAAAAAACAGTATTAAAGTATTTTGTGGACAAATGTACCCTTATCTTTCAATGGCATTATATTAAAGATAAGCTGTAAAAGTTTAGAAACAAATGAAAATATTCTTTTTAAATCAACTCCTTTTAAGGACTGGATAGAATTTGAGGAAATAGCTGATTTAGAAGAACGTGCAAAGAGCCAGTTTTTTGAAAAGGTGCACGAAGAAGTCGTGCTCAAGACTCAGGAGGCTGCTAAAGAAAAGGAGTTCCAAAGTGTACCTGCCGGACCAGCTGGAGCAGTTGAGGTAAGAGAAGAATATTAAATTTTCTACCTCTGGTAATGTCCCTGACTTCCTTATCAGTGACCAACAACAGTGAAATGTTAACTATTTTTGCAGGGAAGGATGCAAAATCCTTAGAACTTGTTTTGTATCTGTACTATATATTGAACCTCCAGATAACTCTTAAATTCCTTCTACCTTAATTGTTTATTTATATTTCTCATGTGATTGAATGTGTTCTGTAAATTTCATTTTATATGATTCTATTTTAGAGTTGTGAAATCTGTCAAGAACAGTTTGAACAATACTGGGATGAAGAAGAGGAGGAATGGCATTTAAAAAATGCTATTAGAGTAGATGGAAAGGTAATTTTCAGTTCTTTATAAAAGTGTTAAGATTCTATTTTTTTGTAGGGGGTAACTTGCCACTTTGAAAGAAAAATATTTTTGTTTTTTGATTTTTATAAGAAAGGTGTTGGACTTTGATAGTGTTTGGGTTGGAAGGTGTCTTAGCCATCAACTGGTTCTATACTTATAAGAGGTTACATAACTAGTAAATGATAAAACCCAGACTGGGTCTTCTAAATCTAGTTAGTCTTCTTTCTGCCTAACCACACTATTTTGATTTTGAATTTATATTTAATTGTAAAAAACTGTTACTGTCTTCAGAGTATACCATGTTATCTACTTAAGTGTATAAACCAAGTTTAAGGAGAAATTGGGATGAAATTTTTTTAATCCACATTTGTGACAAAGTGGTTTTTGTTACCTTTTCAAAGATAGCTATTTTCTGGTGTAAATTTAAAAAGAAAATCATATCAGAATAGTCTGTTAGAAATGAATATACATGTGAATACCTACTTTTTTTCTTTTTGCTTCAGATTTATCATCCATCATGTTATGAAGATTATCAGAATGTAAGTTCTTTTTGGTTACTCTTTGTTCTCATTTACATGAATAAATTTTATTTTTTTTTGCATCAGAGCAATATTGTTAGTTTAACCTTATTGATGTATGTAGCTGTTTTGTGTTTTGATATATCATTTACGTTGTTCACCAAATATTTGTGCTAGATTGATGGGATCTGATTTAAATTTTGAAATTTCTGTATTCCTTGCATTCTATTAACTTGAGTCTTGATGTCTTTTACTAGAGCAGTAGGCCAAGAGAAATGTGAGAAACTGAAGATAGGGATCATGATGGGCACAGGTTTCTAGAGTTATGGATAGCACTTACTGCCTTTTTTTTTTTTAAAGCCATATAACATAGGAATAATTTTTAAATGATCACAAGTGAAATCTGAAAGACATGTCTGTTGACCTTAGAAGTTCACATTTTCATATTTGAGAGTAACCATTTTTTTTTTAAACCAAACAACACACTGGTTCAGGAGGCAGTTTGGAAGATTTATTTAGGTCATTGAAAGAGTAAACTTTCTAGGACGTTTTGATGGTTTGTGAGGTCAGAGTATTTGAAATTAGGATAGTCAAAAATTCGAGTATGTGTAGTGGTTACCATCTCTGTGGGGTTAACTATAGAGATATGTCTAATCAACTTCTTTTGGCCTTAAATTGGTTACTGCTTTTCTTGGCTTAGATCATTGCTGAATACATATTAAATGCTCAGTATACCTTTTATTTGGCTGCTTTCATGGCTTTTTATGGGGAAGCAGGTATTTCCGTTGCATTTGGTATATGTATATTTTTTTGCCCATACAAGGGGTCTAAAACTAAATGTCATTTAATGTGATACTTTTCAACTTCAGTCAGAACTTACAGAGCTTTTCATTTTGTAGACATCTTCATTTGATTGTACACCATCTCCCAGCAAGACACCAGTTGAAAACCCTTTGAACATTATGTTGAACATTGTCAAAAACGAATTGCAAGAACCCTGTGAAAGTCCCAAAGTTAAGGAAGAACGAATTGATACCCCACCAGCTTGTACAGAGGAAAGCATAGCAACACCCACTGAAATTAAAACAGAAAATGATACAGTCGAGTCAGTTTAAATAAAATGAGAAAGGTATGTTTTTCTTTTTAAAAAAAAGCTGCTGTTGGATATAGAAGGTGAAGAATTTTTTATGTATATATAGACATATATCTATATAAATTGTCTAGCTGAGGCAGGGCCTTCAGCTATCATTTGGTTAATAAATACATTTTAGTATTTGCATTTCCTACTGCCTGCACAGATTCAGGTGCTTGTTGTGTGAAAGTTCTGTAGATGTGTGCAAATTTAACAAAATGAAATTGTATGTGTAAAAATGTACGATTTTCACTTGTGAAACTGTAAATTATAAATAAAAAATATTTTTGCTATCCATGGAGTGTAATATTTATGCACACCATCAAATAAAGACAGTGTTTCTGTACTTTTTATTGGGTGAAAATGGAATTAAACAGCAACCTCAACGTAAGATTTTTTTTCTAGTAGCTTCCCACGATTAAAGAAGCAAATTCTGGTTAGTTTTATCCTTCAAAAGAGGGGTGTGAGAGAGCACTGCAGGACTTTTCTCAAATAGAAAAGCCAGATTTGAAAAAATTTTAAAAACGAAATAGGACTTTGCATATATATCTCTCTAGCTATAGAGAACCATCCAGATGTCCATTTTTGAAAAATATCTAATGAAGCAACTTTTATTGAACTTGGACACTGATGCCATCAAACGATTAATATATTTAAGTACTAAAGGTGATTTTTTTTTTAAATGACATTTTTCAAATATGTCAAATGATTTAATGCAGATGAACATATTTCTATTTTAAGTTACAGGGGAATCTGTAAGAATGTTCATTTGAAACATGGTTAACCTTTTTCCTTTGTTGGTTTTGACTGAATTAGATGGATACCATGAGATGTTAATATTCATACATGTAATAAATAGAATGATGAAGAAACTTCCAGTTTGTATCTCTTTATTTCTTGAATGACTTTAGAATGTGACTTTTCTTACGTCTTTGTTCATTACTGTTCTTTAAAACATGAACATGGCACCTGCTATAAGCCAGGAACTCTGTGGATGAAGATTAATCTTTTCTGCCATCTATTGGAGGAGATGGGCATGTAAAACAATTTTCTTTGTTGAGCATTTACTGTGGGGTAGGCACTGGCAAATTTTTTATATATATCTTTAGTATTTACAGATAATCCTACATAGTAGATGGTATCCCCAACGTACAGATTGAATCACGCAAAAAGTTGTAGAATAAGAATGTAGACCTGGTTTTGCTTCATTTTATTCTGTACTACTACTGCAATTAAAAAGAATACCTTAAGTAGGTACATCAAACTACCTGGAATTGGGTTAAGGAAGACTTTATGGAGGTGGTGGTATTTGGGGTATTGGGTCTTGGAAGACAGGAGTCCACACTGGTGGGAAGGGTATCTATGGAGAATGGACAGCAAACATAAAAGCTTGAAAACACATGTGTTTTCAAAAATTTTTTATATGGTTAAAAATCTAACAACTTTGAATAGATTATGAAGAGTCTTCTTGGTCATACTTAGAAGTTTGTATTACATTGGTGAGCATGGGAGCCACCAGAAATTTTAAACAAATCCTATCTGCATCTTTTTTAAGAATCAAGTGAATAGAAATTTATGAGATTGTCAAATGTTATAAAGAGGTTCAGTAAGAAAAACTGATAGGTGTCCACTGGATTTGAGAGGTGAAAACACATTGTGTGATAGCTGAATTTATGAATATAAACGAACACTGTCATGGAAGAAATGCTGGGGTCTGAATCCAAAAACGTAGGCAAAATTTTCTGTTGCCTTCTTTTGGGGGATCATAACTTTTATCAAATGCTTAAAGTGTATGACAAAAGAAAGGCGACATTCTAACCTACCAGTGTACCAAGAGTATCCATATCAAGGGTCAAGTCCTTGAGAAGCAAACATTTAGACTCTTAAGTAGAAGGGTAAGCACTATTGAGAAAAAACAAAACAAAACAAAACAAAAAACAGTAATGGTAAAAAAAATTCAAAGAATGGGCAGTAAACAAAGTCAAGAAAATATGGAACGATACAGAAATATCCCCTAATGACTGACTGAAGAACAGGTGAGTATGGGTGTTAACACCAGTTGCACTGGGTTGTGTGGGTGAGAGGTGACAAAATTGTAAGAGCTACTCTTTATGAAATTTAACTGGAAATTTAATAGTCAGAATGAGACAAAAAAGAGATGTTAACATATATGTTAAAAGGAGTTAATTAGAGAGACTTGAAGACAGATGATAGACCAGTCTCAGATTTGAAAAGAGATTATCAATAGCACAAAAGGAATTAGCTCTGGAGTGGCAGAGGGACAATACCTCTGAGATGATCATAGGTATTTATAGTTGGAATTGAAAATCCAGTTCCTAGTTTTTCTTTGAGGTGGGAGGTTGAATATTGGGTAGTGATTTAGATGTGTGGCCCCCAAATTTCACTGCATTACAATCAGTGAATATTAACAGATTGTTTATCTCTGGAGGGTCTCATTAAGTAGATTCTCATTCAAATCCCTCTACCATTTAGAAAGCTCCATAGTTATACATGAAAATAATGTCAACTATATCTGAATTTAAAAAAAACCCATAGTTGATTTTAATGAACTAGATCTGATAAGTGATCTAGAAAGCAACACTGAACTGTAGCCCCAAAAGATGGAAAAGTAATAATCAACACCTACTACTGGGAACTAGAATGAGTAAGTAATCTACAGTGGAAAGTGTAGCAAGGAAAACCAAAGGAAGCCTTATGTAAGATGGAATACTGTTTTTTGAAGTAACAGTTGAAGTTTGTGAGAATAAAAGCATTTTATTTCCTAAAACCTGCAAATTTCATTGTTTATACCCTCTACAATATTCTGACTTCAACATAATTGGTTAAAACTTAGTTTTAACTTTACTGTTCTGGAAAATACTACAAAGTAATCTGTTATTTAGCTAAAAATAAAATAAGCTTTAGCAAAAAAAAAAACATAATAAAAATTCAAAGATTTTCAAGTAACAACTAACCTAAAATAGACGATTCTAGTTTTGTTTTCCCAGCAGACTTTATTTGCAACCTATTTAGCAACTATTAAATGCTACAAGAGGTTTATACGAAATATTCAGAAAAATACGGGAAGTGGAAAGTTTTAGCAGACTAAAGAGGAGGTAATCTGGAGGTAAAAATGTGAAAGGCTATCATCCAAAAGGACGTGAACTTCTGCAGAAGTAGGGTTTTCTCCTAATCCTATATGGGCTCACTTTGCTGTGCAGGTGGGAAAGAGCAAGTTAAGAGCAAAAAAGTTCACCTACAGGGTGAAAGTCTGGAGGTGGGCATCAAAGGGAGAGCAAGAATGCCTGGGAAGCAAAGGAAGGGAGTATTTAGGCAAGGAAATTGGTTACCAAAACGCATTTAATTGAATTTTTGGCCTGGGATTGGCCCTGCTCCCTCCTGTGGAACTAAATGCAAAGAGCTGGTTTATGGGAGATTAGGCAGACCCCTCTTTGAAAAAACAGAGGTGGAACCATAAGTTTCCTACTTACAAAGAGCTCCACTTCTCTGGAATGCTGAGATGCCCACTTCATTGTGTTCTGGAATGCTTCACTTGAGACATTTCCTTTAATCAGTCCCTCACTTACCTTGAAATCCTGTGCATTCTGGGTTTTTACATCTTGACTCCTAAGTGTTACCAATGACTCCTTGCCAAAACCAGTGTTATTCTTAGCTTCTTAATCTTCCCTGGCCCATGTACTCCTTAAAACTACTTTCTCTTGCTCTATATAACATGTTTTTCTGTGCTTCTGTATTTTTATTTAGGAAGAATTTTTGTAAAACTTAAAAAAATCAATACAGAAAAAGTCTCCTTTCACATCTTTCTTGTACTGAGTTAATCTTCTATAGATTCTTTGAAAAAAATTTTACAAAGAAGGGGCACCCGGGTGGCTCAGTCTTTAAGCGTCTGCCTTTAGTTCAGGTCAAGCCCTGCATCGGGTTCCCTGCTCAGCAGGGAGCCTGCTTCTCCTTCTCCCACTCCCCCTACTTGTGTTCCCTCTCTCGCTGTGTCTGTCAAAATCTTAAAAAAAAATAAAAATTTTACAAAGAAATTTTAAAATACTAAGATTGCATACATTTTGCCTTTTTTCATTTACTGTCTTTTTCTATGTTAATGCTGTAGATCTCATTTTTAAACTGTAGTATTTCATAGGAATGTAGCATAATTTAGCCATTCTTTCACTGATGGATATCCAAGTGTCTAATTATTTACAACTATAACACACTGCAATGACTGTCCTACTACAACAGAACGTTATTTTGAATATTTTACAACTGGGTATCTCCTGACTCAGGGTAATGTATGTTTAGTTTTGACGGATACTGCCAAATTGTCCTTCATGGGTCACACCAATTTAAAATCTCACCAGCAGAGGCTTCAGACCTCTTCCAACACTCATTATCCATCTTCTAGTTTTTATCATAGTGACGTGCTGAGAGCATTTTCTCAATGAGTTTTGAGTAAACTTGGTAATTTTTTTTTCAAATTTAAGTATAGTTGACGTACAGCATTCGTTAGTCTCAGGTGTACTTGCTTTTGGTATTTTTAATCACACGTTTTGCTCATTAGTGTATCTAGAGTTACTCTTTCTCAGACTTGATAAATACTGTCTACCTCCGGTCTCAACTTCATGGTAATGTATCTTGTAGCCTTTTAAATGTTTATAAATTTTTTCTGTTATCTTTGGAGTTTGTATTGCTTAGGAAGCCCTGCCTTAGATATGTAAAACAAATTTCTGTATTCTAGAACTTTAATATCTTCAATTCTGAAATTTTTGCATATGAAAGAGAGCTTATTTCTCTATTTGAAATGCCACCTCTATAACAAATGTATACATGGGGTTATTTCTGAATTTGTTTGTTCCACTATTTGATCCTATTCCAGTACCTCCCTGTTACAAATAACCTAGCTTTGTAGTTCTGATGGGTATTTGGGTGAGGTCTCATTCTTTTTTATTTTTTTTAAAGATTTATTTATTCATTTGAGAGAGAGCAAGAGCATGAGCAGGGGGAAGGGGCAGAGGGAGAAGCAGGCTCCCCGCTCAGCAGGGAGCCCAATGCGGGACTCAATCCCAGGACCCTCGGATCATGACCTGAGCCGAAGGCAGACACCTAACCGACTGAGTCATCCAGGCACCCCTCATTCTTCTTTTTAAAAACACATTTTGGTTAATCTTGCACCTACATTCTTCCAAATAAAAAATCACCTTGTTGATTTCCACTAAAAATTGTTAGAATTACTTGAAATGCAACAAATTTATAATGGGAGGAGAATCTTATCTTTACGGGGCGCCTGGATGGCTCAGATGGTTGGGCGTCTACCTTCGGCTCAGGTCATGATCCCAGGGTCCTGGGATCGAGTCCCGCGTCGGGCTCCCTGCTCCTTGGGAGCCTTCTTCTCCCTCTGCCTCTCTCTCTCTCTTTCATGAATAAATAAATAAAATCTTAAAAAAAAAAAAAATCTTATCTTTACAACACTGAGCCTACTTATCTAGGGACACAGCAGGTCTTTCCATTTATTCTGATTTTCTGTAACATCCATAAATGAAATTGTTTTTTTAATGTAGGTTTTGCTTATTTCTTGATAGATTTCTAGAATGTCTCACCACTGTTGCTAATGTGAGTTCTTTACATTTAAAAGTTGATTATACCTAGTTTATAAAAAATCTTCTGTATGTTGCTGAGAGCTTACCATCTTCCTTATAGATTTTCCAGGTAAACAATATCACTTATCTTAATTCCTTCCTTTTCAATTTCATACCTTACTTCTCTCTCGCTTATTACTATTATACTGGATCCAAAATTCTCAGAAAAATGTTGAATTGTATGAATGACAGGAGATATAACCTGGCTCATGACATTAAGTGTGCTGTTTATTTCTGGTTGATACCCTTCATCCAGTTAAGCAAGCTTCCTTTTGTTACTTGCTTAATATAAATTGTATTTTTTTAAAAAATCAGTAATAGATGCTAATTTTTCAAGTGTTTTCATTACCAATTATGGCCATATAGTTTTTCTCCTTTATCTACTAATATAGAAAATTTTCATTACTTGTCTAATGTTGACCATCCTTTTACTGGTAGGATTAACCCAACTTGGTTATGACATCATTCTCTAAATGCACTGTTGGCTTGTTTCCTTAGGTTTTTTGCATGAGTATTCATAAGTGAGACTGAGCTAGGTTTTATTTGATTGTTTTTTCCGATTCTGCTATGGTTATGCTTTCATAGTTGGGACATACTCCATTCTTCTCTATGCTTTGTTCCTGGTGACTTCTGTCAGGGATATATATATATAGGGCATTCTTTCATGATTATCAGTTTATTAAGGTTTTCTAACTCTTGAGCCAATTTTTTGAAGTCTGTATTTTCCTAGAAAATTGTTCAAGTCAGTTTTCAAGATTATTAGTATAAGGCTTTTCTAAGTTCACTTCTAATTATGGAAGTCCCTCGTATCTGTAATGTTCCCTTTATTTCCAAATACTGCTTTCTTTTCTTTTTAGATTTGCTAAGTATCTATTTTTTTTTTTTTTTTAAGATTTTATTTATTTGACAGAGAGAGACAGCGAGAGCAGGAACACAAGCAGGGGGAGTGGGAGAGGGAGAAGCATGCTTCCAGCGGAGCAGGGAGCCTGATGCGGGACTCGATCCCAGGACCCTAGGATCATGACCTCAGCCGAAGGCAGACACTTAATGCCTGAGCCACCCAGGCGCCCTATTTATTGTCCTTTTCAAACAGAAGCTACTATTAATTTTATTTTCTATTTCATTAGTATCTGTTTTTATTAATTCCTTTAAGTTTATTTTGGGAGATTTTATTTTTTCTGCTTCTCTGCTATTTCTGTTTTCTTTTCTGATCCTTCCTGACATTTGTGCATCCTTTAAGGATGTGCTGACCCTCAGTGAATTTATCCATACAACATTGCAATAAACGAAGCCTTTACCATTATTACGTAAGTGGCTACAAACTCTGTATTAATTTGGAGTCAGTCAGAGTGGGTTCAATCCCCCACCTCCTACTTATGTGATCTTGGCCACATGTGAGCAGTTTCTTCATCTGTAAAAACAGAAATAATAATACAGATTAAGTTTGAAACTATTTGCAAATCATTTAGCATAGAAACTGGCCCCTATTAATAACTCAATAGACGTCTGGTAAGACAAAACACCTTAGTTGCCCTATTTCTAAAGATAAGGGGACTGGGATGACTAATCCCAAATTCCCTCCCAACTGTAAAAAAGATGATTTTCATTCTATCAGTTCATCCACCAAACAACTGATCGTCAAGCCATCTGCTAACCCACACCACAGCTACTAAGCCCTCCCCTTGAACTAAGTATTCCGAATGTCAGGAAAACCAAGATGAATGATGATATAGTCCCTACCTTCCAGAAGCTCAGAGTCCTTGGGGAGTCGGGGTGAGGATCAACTGTTAAATAGGTAATTTTAATATAATGCGTTAAGTGGTCTAATAAAGGCTGTGAAAATTCAGAGGCTTTGAGAAGTATGTCCGGCAAAATCAAAGACCTAGGTTGGACACCTAATTCAGGTACTTAATACTTACTAGCTGCGAATCTTCAGGCAATTAACTTTGGTGCTTTTTGTCTTTACCTGTAAAAAGGAAGAGTAATACTGTTCTGGAAGGTTATGTTAAGGATTAAATAACAAAACTAATATAAAGTACTTAGTACAGTGTCAGACTCACATGAACTCAGCAAATGACAATTACTAATATTACCAATATTACAAGAGGCTATGGAAGTTAAAGTCAATTTACTGTATTTCAAGAGAGGTAAGATAGGGTGAGGGGAATTTCCCAAGTGTGTTTAAGAACAAAACCTGTGGCAAAGAAATAAGGATGGGGAAAAAAAAGGGTGAAAGGGGAATTAAGGTGGGTGATACCCTTGGCGGGTAGAGAATTCTAATTTCTCTATTCTCCGCTGCTAAACCCATGTATTTTCTTTTTCTTTTTTAAGTAGGCTTCAAGCCCAACGTGGGGCTGTAACTCACCACCCTGAGATCCAGTCGCAAGCTCTACCAACTGAGCCAGCCAGATGTCCCCTCCCACTCCCCTGTATTTTCAATAAAGAGTGAATGGAAGAATACACATTAAGCAATAAAGTTAGAGAAAAAGATGTGGGCCAAACTGTTGAAAGTGAACATTTTACATTAAAAGGAACCTTGGAGTTGGGAGTCAGGAATCCTGGGGCAGTCTTTTTGACTACTGACCTGTGTTTATACTGGCTCCACAACTTACCTGTTTGTCCTTAGCGAATTACTGATACCTTAAATTGCCTCACCTACAAATCAGGGACAACACCTACCTTACAAATTTATTCTGAGAATTAAGCGCCAAGCAATTACCCAAGAGCCTGGCACTAATAAGCATTCAATAATGAAAGCGGCTGCAGCTAACTTTTCCTCTGGGTCTTTCTCCATACCTGTGAAATGGTAGGTTAGCACATATTTCTTCCAATGTTCCAACAAGCGCTTAAAAATTATACTAGGTTTGCCAAGAACGAAGAAAGGCCCCACCCGGCCCGCGCCACACAGGTCACCTACGCAACTGAAGTCCTGGAGTCTCCACCTGCGTCGCTGAGGCATGGAAAGCGCGATGGATGGTAGGTCATTAGAGAGACAGGGCCTAGATAGGCTGGATGTGAGACCGTGCCGAATTTCACGAACACGGGTTCTTACCATCCTCCGATTTCTCTAGAGGCGAAGCCTTGAAAAAGGTTGAGGGGAAGTCGGAAGTGACGCAAGGCCGTGAGGAAGTGGAAATGACCGCAGCACGCCGGAAGTTTACCCGTTTCCAAGGCAACGGCTCCACGACCCCTCTAACAAGTTGGCTGGAGTCAGGACGCTGGAAAGCAACTCCGAGGAGAGGGTACCAGCCCACGGCGGCCGCCGCCAGAATGACTCGCGGGGAGTAGCAACCGAAGACGGCGGCCGCCTCAGTAGCCATCGCGTGTGGAGGATAAACGGCCGACACGGCCAACGCGGCGGCCAGTTAAGGGAAAGAGTTAGCGAAGACCAGGACTTTAGTCCCAGTGAAGACTGGGAAAGAATCCGTGAAGACGGCGGCCACCTCTGTCGGGGCTCTACAAGAAGACTAAGTGAAAACATCGGTTTCTCCCCCAGTGATTCGAGAAGAGTCAATGAAAACCTGGGCAGTGTCTCTCGGGAGAGAGTTACGGGAGATGGAGGCCGCCGTCACAGCAGCTCCTGGGAGAGAGTAAGGGGAGCCCAAGGCTTCAGCAGCAGCGACGTGAATTTAAGTGAGGTCGGCAGCCACCGAACTAGTGACTGTGAGGGACTGGTCGGAGAAGACCGCGGCCTCTGCTTTAGTGATTCTTGGGAGGGTGTCAGAGAAGTCCCGGGCCCCCAACCCGGCGACTCCGGCGAGAGAGGCAGTGACTACTGCAGACGCCGCCTCAGTGGCTCTTGGGAGGAAGGGAGTGTCTATGGCGGCCACAGCCTCAGTAATTCCTGGGAGGGAATAAGTGAAGACCGCGGCTACGCGGCCAGCGACTCCTCCGCGGTGAGCGTAGACACCAGCTGCTGCCTCCGTGGCTTCTGGGAGAGAGAAAGTATAGACGAGGGTTTCCGCTGCCGGAGCTTTTGGGAGAAAACCAGGGAGGACCGGGTCCCCGGTCTTAGCGACGACGAAGGCAGCCACTACAGTGGCTCGTGGGTGACAGCAAGTGAAGATCGCCGCAGCAGCGGAGGCCTGGACTCGAGTCCTCCCCGGAGTCCGAGGGATCGCACCATGCCAGGGGTGTCCGATTCAGGCCCCTCCACCTCCTCTAGGGAGACTGCAACCCCGTGTGAGTCAGACTACTTCACTTACCTTTGTCTCGGCCACTGTGCTTTTCTCATTTCACCCACAACAGCGTTGGCCCTTTCTGGCAGTTTCCTTTCTCAGCCGTGACTCCTAATTTCCCTTAACTGACCTATTTTAAGTGGGTCCCAAAGCTGTTCATCTGTTTCTCATCCTCCTTCACTTCAGCTTTCCTCTCTTTCTTCCACCTGCATTATTCCTGAAACTTCTTGCCCAGATTGACATAAACGCTTGTTAAATGTTAGGGACTCTTGGCTTCTCTGCAGCATTTGACCCTGTGGAGATGACTTTAGACTTACCTAGTTTTCTTCCTTCCACACTGTTGACTCTCCCTTTCCCTTAGATAACTTTTCTTCCATCCTTTCCTTAAATGCTGTCCCCGCCCCCCCTCCGGATAATGCCATCACTAGTGCTTTTTTTCTGGTCGTGTACTATGACTTAAACCCTAGTGAATTCTGCGTTACTCAATCATCCAGTAAATATTAATTGAGTGCCTAATATTTGTTGTATCTTAAGGTTATATCACTGAAGAAGACAGGCACATTCCTTACCTTCTAGGAAGAAAGATAAATACTGAGCAAATAATAACTAGTGTGATGAATATTATAAAGAGTAGCATGCCATTGGCTTCACTATGGGGTGAGGATGGGTATCAGAAAAAAACTAATACTGAGAGACACCTAACACTGAGATCTGCTGCAGACTCATATATACAGCTCCCTTCTGGAACTCTTCCTTTGGCACCTCAAGATCAACATGTGCAAAATAGGATTTTGAATCCATATGCCCTCTCTGTCCTTTGGTGTCTGCTACAGGTAACTAATCCAGACACCTTGGAGTCATCCTGTTTCTCCTTATTTCATCCACTGTATGCATCGAAGTTCAAATCATTCTATTTCCATATTTGTTGAATCTGTCTCCTTTTCTGTTCCTACTGCCACTCTTTTAGTTGAGGGTTTCAACCTCTCTGGTGTAGACTATTGTAGCTTTCTTCTAACATGGTCTTCCTGAGTCTCCAGTCTTGCCTTTTTGCTGCCCTTCAGCAATAGGATGGGGTTTTGCGTGTGTGTGTGTGTGTGTGTGTGTGTGTGTGTGTGTGTGTGTGTGTATGTGTGGTTTCTTGACCACATCCTACTGTTCATGCTGTTTAGGTTGCCTTTCCCTGTCCCCATTTTACCTGGCAAACTCCTGCTAATCCTTGAAGATTCATTTTAGATCTTACCTTCCCCAGAAATCCGTTCTGTTCCCCTTTCTTCCTACCGTGGCCGCGTTAGATGTCTTCTGTGCTTCCGTAAGTTTTTATGACTATTTCTGTTATTGCTCCTACCATATTATTTTATAATTTGTATTTGTATCTTTCTGTGAATTCTTTGAGGATAGAGACCATGTTGTCTTCATCTTTTTATCTTTGTGGTAGACACCAAATTAATGTTGAGTGGATGGATGTGTGGATGAATGAATGAATTGGGATGGGATGGGGTGAAAAAAAAAGGCATACAATTAGATGGAGCCAAATTATGGGCTTGCATATATTGTCATTCTGAGAGTTTGGACTTTGTTCTCTAGACCAGCAGTGGATAACCAGAAGCAGTTAGTGGAGTAGAGGCATGAAGTGATCAGGATAGTGTCTCTGTATAAAGTGGATTAGAGTGGGTAGAACATCATTTGTAGATCTTGTAGTATTAGTTTAAAGGAGAAGAGTGAAGGTCTGACCTAAGGGATTAACATCATTAAACATTTATTAAATGGCTTGGTTATTTTTGGTCCCTTCCTTGCACCCTTCCCCATATGGATATATCTTAATTGTTCTTCAAGGTCTTGCTTAAATGTTTACTTCTCCAAAGTCTTAATTTTACCTGTACTTTCTTAGTGCATCAGTCAGTTTTTTTTATTTTATCGAATTTATCCAAGTAGATTTTAAAGTGTTGGTGGAAAGAAAATGTATTAAATCCATGTCCATTTTCCATCATATTGAAGTGGGAGAGCTAGGTTCTTGTCTCATGGAATCGAAGAATGAATCTCATAGTCAAAGGAGAATGAGTAAAGCAGTAGAGTTTTGTTAAGAAAGGATACAGAAAAAGCTCTCGAGAGTGAGAGGGTTGCCACTGAGGGTTTTTAGTGGCTATCTTTTATTGAGAACTGACTGGGAAACTTGTGGCCTTGAGATTCTTGTGCCATCTTGGTTTGAGCAAGGACTATTGATAACACCCTTAATGGCTTAATTTTTTGAGATTTGGTCATTTTCTGTGATACACTGTAGCTGGCAAAGAAGAATACTCCCAAGCATCTGAAGCCAGGTGGTCTATTTTCTTATATCCTGTTCACTCTGTCTTAGTGCTTCTGCCTGCCAGGAATAGTCTCAGAACCTAGCCAGGAGCCCCCAGTCTTTCCCTGCCTATACCTTAACCCTTTCCTTATTCAATAATATCAAAGTGCTTGGCACATGGTAGATGCTCAGAAAGGATTTTTGAATAAAATGTGCAGCATTTTGTTAAGGGGTGGTGTAAGATATGATTCCAGCCCTCAAGAAATTAACACTTGAGTTGTGGAGAAAGGACATATACATAAATAAGTAGTAGTACAGATTGCATAGATTATCTACCAGAAATGTTGGTGAGTTCTTTCGAAAACAATTTGAGGTCAGGAATTGTGCCTTTTTGTTTAGGAAATGCTTTGATTAAACTCTCTTCTTTCTCCTCCAACAACTGTTTGTTCATGCTTAGATACCTTTGTTGCTTCTGGCTTAGGTACACATTAAAATATTGCACAGTCACAATGTAGTCTCGATGTTTGGAACATTAAATTATAAAATATAAGACCACTGGAGTGTATGAAGTAAGCATGTGACCTGCCATTCCTTTCTTAGTATAGTACATATGAGAAGGATAAGAAAAATAGATTGATAGAATTTATCAGCCTATATGAGATAAGGCTCTGGTAAAATCACTGGAGAGTAGGTCTCTCTCATGGAGAATGCGCTGGGTATATTTCAAAATGGTTGCTTTCCCCCTTTCCCTGACAAAGACATGAAGTGATTCTTTTTGACTTTTCACAGTGATAACCTGGTGGGATTTACCCTGGTGGGGTAAAATCTATGAAAATGTGGGGGCCTTCTAAGACTGTGGCCCCAAAGAGTTCTCACTCGTAGGCTAATACTTGCCCAGCATCTAGCAATTTGTCAAAATTACCATTTCAGTGCTTTGAAGTTTATGGCTCCGGTGGTTTTGGCTCCAGGTAAGCTGAACTTGTTTGTGTTTTTCTGTATTTGTGTGTCTCTCCAGACTCAGGGAACCGATTGGCCCTGAGACCTCGGTCCTCTGATGAGTCCAGGAAAAGTTGTTGATTTTCTGTTTGTTCAGCTTTTCCTCTACCTATGGGAGTGATAACTTCCGTGCTCTTTATGTGTTAGAGCTGAAATGGAAGTCTGATTGAGATGTTAATCACAAACATCTTTGTAGTAAATTGTTTGGAAAACCAAAGTGATTTTGTGCTTTCTGTTGAATCATTGCTTTAGTCTTTTTTTTTTTTTTAAGTTTTGTAATATATGTTAAGCAATTTGATTTTCAATAGGTGCCCGGAAGAAGGTTCATTTTGGTAACATACATGATGCAGTACGGGCTGGAGATGTAAAGCAGCTTTCAGATATAATAGAACGAGGAGTCTGCATTAATGAAGTTGACATTCTCCATAAGTTTACCCCTTTACATTGGGCAGCACATTCTGGAAGTTTGGAGGTAAGAAGCTTTATAATTATTAAACTGAAGTAAGTTTACAACTGTTAGCAGTTTTGAAAATTTAGCAAATAGGACTGAGACTTTATGCTAGGCGCTGGAAATACTTTTCATTTCATTGTAATATTTGTTGTTCTGGTTACTATGCCTTTGTAACATATTATCCCAAAAGGTAGTGGCATAAAGTGACCATTTGTGCTCAGGAGTAAATTAGGAATTTGGATCTCAGAGACAGCTTGTCCCTATTTCGTGATGTGTGGGGCTTCAGCTGGAAGATTTAAATGCTGGTTCTGGAATCTTCTGAAGGCTTGTTCATGCAGATGTCTGGTGGAAGATGCTGGCTATATGTTGGCCACCTTAATTCCTCTCCATGTGGGTTTTTATGTGAGGTCTCTCCACCTGGGCTCGTTTGTGATTCCTCACAATGTGGTGACTGAGTTCCAAAGGCAAGCAGGGAGGGTAATTTATAGAGGGTAACATATGACTATCTAGCTCTGTCAATCCTAACCTTTTTCCTAGAGTTGCATGTGAAGTCCCTCAGCACCCCTCTCAGGTGCCATTCCTCTCCTTCTAACTCCAGAGATAAAACTACGACCCTGAATATGGTGTTTAATATTCCCATCTATACTTTATGTTGTTATTGCTTATGATTATAGCATTGTTTTTAATGACATTTTATATAAATGACATCATCATGTGTATCATCTTGTAGTTTGCTTTTTGTGTTCAACAATGTGTTTTTGAGCCTTAACTATGTGGTTACATCTATGTACTCCATTTCTTTCAGACATGTTCCAATAACATCTTCTTAGACTAATATCAGAATTTCTCTACTTTTTGATTGATGGCTATTTAGTGGGTTTCAATTTTTAGCTAGTACAGGCAGTGCTTAGTGAATTTTTTTTTAAAAGATTTTATTTATTTTTTGACAGAGAAGGACAGTGAGAGAGAGCACACAAGCAGGGGGAGTGGGAGACGGAGAAGCAGACTTCCTGCTGAGCAGGGAGCCTGATGTGGGGTTCAATCCTAGGCACCTGGGATCACGACCTGAGCAGATGCTTAACGACTGAGCCACCCAGGCACCCCCTTAGTGAATATTTTTATGCAAAACTTATTCTTGGGTTGTGTGCAAAGCCCCCTGAACTTTTTCCTCATGATTCGAGATTGTGTGGAGCTTATTTTCATGATATTTCTCCAGCCTATAGGCTGCAGTGGGTCTGTTCACTACAAAGTCTTTTGTTGCCCCTGCCACACAGAGACTGCTTTCTATGAATATGGTTTCTCTGTGTGATTTCTTGTTTGTTTGGCCTTCCCTGCTTCTTGGAACCAAATCTAGTCCAGAGAATTATATTAAATAGCTTGAACTTTATCCTATAGGGGATAGAGTCACTACATAGACTTAAGAAAGGTTTCAAGTAACATCACATATTAGTTTGAGAGCGATAATTTTCTACACTTTCTAGAGTATGAAGAGTAACTTCATACTCTCCAGTTTGTGTGCCCTGCTTGAACTGTTGTAAACAAGGATTTTTGTTTTGGCCTTTTAGTGGCTTCCTTTCACCTAGGAGAAATATGCCTTGCCAGTTCTTTCTGAGTTTATAACCCTGGGTGGGTATTTTTTTCTGTTTCTTTCTGCATCCCTTTTGGATCAACACTTTGGCAGATTTCCCATATGTTCTCTGGCTTCAGATATCTCCTAGTTTCATCAAAGATGGGGTTTTCTTCCTGTTTATCTTGCTCTTTTTTTTTTTTTTTGATGATTTCGAAGAAAGGAAGAAGTAGTGATCTTATTCTGCCATATTCAAATAGGATGGGGTGGCCTCTCTTTCCTGGTATCCTTTCAGCCTTTCTGATTACTCTCAGTCTTCTTTGGTTAACCTCCTCTGCCTTCTGTACAAATATAGATATTTTTTTTTCTTCTGCTAATGACCTTTTCTCTCCTACTTTATATCCTCTCTAGGTAGTCTTTTAGAGTTCCTTGGCTTTATCACTACTGCATAATAATTCATTGATTTGCTTCTCTCTTGAACTCTGGCTTATGTATCAGGTGCTTGATCAACAGCTCAGGCATATCTGATAGGATCTCAAATTGGTTTAAAACTAAACCAAGTGTCCTTTTCCCTCCCTTTCTTAGTTTTCCAGGCTAATGACTTTGCATCATTTTTTAAAATTTTATTATATGTTAGTCACCATACATTACATCATTAGTTTTTGATGTGGTGATCCACGATCCATTGTTTTCGTATAACACCCAGTGCTCCATGCAGTACGTGCCCTCCTTAATACCCATCACCAGGCTAACCCATCCCCCCTCCCCCCTCCCCTCTAGAATCCTCAGTTTGTTTCTCAGAGTCCACAGTCTCTCATGGTTCATCTCTCCCTCCGATCCCCTCCCTTCATTTTTCCCTTCCTTCTCCTAATGTCCTCCATGCTATTCCTTATGTTCCACAAATAAGTGAAACCATATGATAATTGACTTTCTCTGCTTGACTTATTTCACTTAGCATAATCTCCTCCAGTTCCATCCATGTGGATGTAAAAGTTGGGTATTCATCCTTTGTGACGGCTGAGTCATATTCCATTGTATATATGGACCACATCTTCTTTATCCATTCATCTGTTGAAGGGCATCTCGGCTCTTTCCACAGTTTGGCTATTGCGGACATTGCTGCTATGAACATTGGGGTGCATATGGCCCTTCTTTTCATTACATCTGTGTCTTTGGGGTAAATACCTAGGAGTGCAATTGCTGGGTCATAGGGTAGCTCTGTTTTTAAATTTGCATCATTATTGCATTGTCTCCGTTTTTTCCAGAGGTAAAACACAGTATCAACATGTGTCTGAAGGTGCACTTCATAATGCACATTGATGCAGTGAGAACTGATTACTAGATCCTTGATTTTGTTCCATCTTTGTCTCCTGAGTTTGTCCTCTCCATCCTCCTAGCCACTGCCTTAGATCTAACTGATTTTCTTCTTTTCTGTCTCATCCACCTTTAGTTCATATTCAGTATAAAGTTATCCCTCTAAAACTAATATCTGATGTTACTTGAAACCTTTCTTAAGTCCATGTAGTGACTCTATCCCCTATAAGTCATAATAAAGTTTAAGATATTTGCTAGAAGGGACTTCTCTCTCCAACCTCATCTCCCATCATACTTGTTTTAATCTGTGGTACTGGTTAACTACTGTCAGAGAGTGAGTATAAGTAGGGGGAGCAGCAGAGGGAGAGGGAGAAGCGGGCTACCTGCGGAGCAGGGAGCCCAGTGCGGGGGTCTATCCCAAGACTCTGGGATCATGACCTGAGCCGAAGGCAGACCCTTAAGTGACTGAGCCATCCAGGCATCCCTATATATTAATTTTTATTGGAGATTTTATTTTTATTTTTTTTTCTTAGGCAAAGAACTTTATTAACCTTGTTTCAAACTTTATTCCCAGGCTTCTTCCGCTTAATTAGCTGCAAAGAATAAATTGTGTATAAGCAAAAACTGAAAAGAGCTGCAGTGTCCAAGGGGCTTGGGCTTAAAAATATTAGAGATCCAGATTTTATCAGATCCATGAACAAAATTTTAAAAAGCAGTCATAATATAAAATAGCAGCTCCCAGTAACTTCTTCAAGTTTTATCTTCTTCAGAAGTTGACTCAATTCAGTTTGCTTCATTCTTGTAAGCTTCATCAAAATTCTCCACAAGATCAGGAACTTCATCGTCATCATCCTCTCCGGTAGCAAGTGGTGCTTTTCCAGCTACAGATTGTTTGGGCAGAGCTTTAGCCAGTCTTCTTCAACTAGTCAGACTGTCTGCAGCAAGTTGGTTTAAGATATGGGGTAGCATTTCTGTCAGCTGCTTTGTCTCAGCATGGCCTGTGATGGTGAAAGTGTTCGTGGCCAGCAACGCCTGAACTTTGGGGTTGTTAAAGTGGATCACTGGTCCTTGGTTTGTGAACATATTCACTTCTTCAATACCAGAGATATTGTTTACCCCGAACTTCTTTAAGGAGAACTGAAGTTTTTTATCATTTGCTGTAGCCATTCTATGAACCACCTTCTTCTTCCGGCGAGCAGTTCCTTTCCCACCAGTGCGCACTTGTGCTTGCAGTTTGGCAAGTTTCTCCTGGTTCATGATAGTTTCTTTCATCTTGTTGGAGCGGAAATGGGACCGCACGGGGGGAATAGGGTTGGCGTTCAGGGGGTCTCGGGCGGACCAGCTGAGATTAGGTCAATTTTTTTTTTAAGATTTTATTTATTAGAGAGAGAGAGTAACAGAGCACAAGCGAGGGGAGGGGCAGAAGAAGAGGAAGAAGCAGACTCCCCACTGAGCACGGAGCCCGATACTGGGCTTGATCCCAGGACCCTGAGATCATGTTGTGGGCGGAAGGCAGATCCTTAACTGACTGAGCCACCCAGGAACCCCTAAAGATTTTTATTTTATTTTTTAAGTAATCTCTACACCCAACATTGGGCGTGTGAGTCACAACCCATAGTCACATGCTCCACTAACTGAGCCAGCCAGGCGCCTATATTTTTTTTTTATAAGTGTACTCTTTAAGTCCCATCACCTATTTCAGCCACTCCCCATCTACCTTTTCTCTGATAACCATCAGTTTGTTCTCTATAGTTAAGAGTCTGTTTCTTGGTTTGTCTCTCTCTTTTTTTTCCTTGCTCATTTGTTTTGTTTCTTAAATTCTACATATAAAGGAGATCATATGGTATTTATCTTTCTCTGACTTATTTTTCTTTGTCTATATTTTCTATTTGATGAGTCATTGTCATCATACTTTCCTTTAATTCTTTAAATATAAATTCTTTTATAAATTCTTTTAGTTCTCTGAAGCTATTTATAATAGCAGCTTTGAAGTCATGCTAAGTCTAACAGCTGGGCCCTCTCAGGGATAGTTTCTATTATTTTTTTTCCCCCTGTGTATGGGTCACACACTCTTTGTATAATTATAACCTCATAATTTTTTAGTTTGCCTAGACATTTTGAAAACTGCCCATTTTAGATTATATATTGTAGCAGCTTTGAAGTCTGATCCTATTCACCCCATCCCTCCCAGATGTGCTTGTTGCTATGTATTTGCTTGATTGACTTGCTTAGACTAATTATGTGGAGTCTGTTTCCCCACAGTATGTAGTCACTACTCAGTTTTTTTCGTTTGTTTGTTTGTTTTGATTTTTAAAAAATTCTTGTTAGTATTTTTAAATCTGGTTTCCTAGGGCTTACTCTTGGGTCAGTGATTGATCAGAGGTTGTGTTTATATACCTTGAGCTAGTAAGGATTCCATCTTTTGCTGAGTCTGTGTGTGACTTGGGGAATGTTTTTCAAGTCCAAGCAGTTTACAAGTCAACTTGACTTTCCTTTTTTTTTTTTCTTTTTTTTCCAAATGTGTTTGCAAGGCCTTATGTTTAGCCAGGGATGTCTAGTCAACTTGGACCCTCTTTAGTCTTTCCTGAATATAAGCAGCTTTGTACATATACATGGCCTTGTAGATTACAAGGGATAAGTGGAATCTTAGCAAGGTCCACTCACTGTCTCATTTCTTGGATTTTTCCATTAATTTTCTGTGTGGTCTTTAGTTTGCTTGTTTGCCTTCACCAGTGTTGTGACTTCAGGTGAGCTCTGATGTTGGCTTTCCCAGGTTTTTGGCCCCTGAGTTGGAATTGTTTTTGACTTTGTGCCTGGGCATGGAATTTTCATTCCTTCCAGCAGGGCAATGGAGCTGTCCATCTGGGTAGAACTTCCACACCATGTAGCTCAGGGTAGGGATAGTTGTAGTCTCAGGCTTTCTGCTGCAGACTCCACCTGTTCTTACTGAGATTCAGAATATTTTCTTAAGTTAATGCTTCTTATTTTGTTATGTGCCTCTGACAAATTCCCAGAGTCTTTACATGGTTGTTTTTGACAACTTTGTCTAGTTTTTTTTTTTTTGAAGATTTTATTTATTTATTTGAGAGAGAGAGAGAGAGCAGGCACACACACACGAGTGGGAGGGGGGCAGAGAGAGAGGGACAAGCCGAATCCCTGCTGAGGGTGGAGCCTGATGTGGGGCTCTATCCGAGGACCCTGAGATCATGCATGTCCTGAGCTGAAGTCAGATGCTTAACTGACTGAGCCACGGAAGTGCCCCTACTTTGTCTAGTTTTATCATTGCTTGGGAAGGATTTGCCAAGTTCCTCACTTAGCCATTTCTGAAGTCTTACTGATTGATTAGTTGATTTTTTTTTTAAAGATTTTATTTATTTATTTGGGAGAGAGAGAGTGCACAAGTGGGGGGAGGGACAGAGGGGAAAAAGAGAAACAGACTATCCACTGAGCAGGGACCCTGACTTGGGGCTCGATGCCAGGACCCTGAGATCATGACCTGAGCCAAAGGCAGACACTTAACCACCTGAGCCACGCAGGTGCCCCTGATCAGTTGACTTTTGCCAAAGATGCAAATGAAATCCAATAGAGAACAGATAGTGTTTTCATTAAATGGTACTGGCACAATGGGACAGTCATAAGTGAGATAATGATACATCTGGCACCTTATGTAAAAATGTACTCAAAACAGATCATAAACAAATGGAACACTTAACCTTCTAAAACTTCTAGAAGAAAACATAAGAGAAAAATCTTTGCAAATCATATCTAGGAACTTGTAGCCAGAGCATATGAAACTCTAATAGTTCCATAGTAAGAAAACAAAAAAACCAATTAAAAAATGGGCAAATGACTTTGACACTTCAGGAGGACATGTGGATAGCAATTGAGCACATGAAAAGATGTCCAACATCATTAGCCATTAAGGAAATGCAAATTAAAAGCACAATCAGATGCCAATACACACCTATTAGAATGGCAAAACAAAAACAAAAAATGATACTACCAATATTGGCAAGAATATGGAGCAACTGCAACTCTTATACATTGCTATACTTACCTATGTTCCAGTAATCCTGCTTACATATTTACCCAGGAGAAATAGAAAACTTGTTACACGAATGTTTGCAGTGGTTTTATTTTCCTGTAACTGAACAGTGTTAGCATGTAGTAGTCTCTCCATAAATATTTGTTGATAAATGGATGACTTACTGTGATTAGTAGTGATGTTGAGCTTTTATTTAATCTTTGTATTTTATTGGCCACTGATCTCTGTGACAGTCCAATGATACCTAAATATTAAGCCTTTCAACACATGATACGGCTATGACTGATGTGACAGTATATCCCAATGATACAACCAATTCTTTAAAAAGAAACTTCTTGAAGATAGAATCTCCAAACTTGAACATACAAAGACAGTAACACTGTATGGGGCACAGACCTCTAGTACTGTATTCTATTGAGATTTACATTAATTAAAAAAGATATTAAATGAAGATGCATTTGACTCTCACCCCATTTTTTTATAAGTGACTTTTTTTCCTTTTTAGAGAGTATCGTCAGAATAACAATGTTTGCTCTGATACAGAAGCATTTGGGCCCATTTAAAGATCTGTGGCAGAAGTTGCAAATTGGCAGCCTTTGAGTGAACTTGACTCACAGATGTGTTTTGTTTGGCTTATATAGTATGGGTGAAATATAAGATTTGGATCAGCAATTCACTTACAGTAACAACTGGCTGGGATATAAGTAGCAATTATGCCTTATGGACAATGAATGTGATCTCCAATTTGCCACAGCTTCCACTGTTCTGTTGACCCAATAATAAGGCTGAGTGGGGTTACCATATCATTGTTCTTGTGCTTTTGTTTTTCTTAAACCCCTCATTTACTTACAATGCTTCCCAGGCTGTGGTATTTCATGATGATAGACTAAATTTCAAAGATCTAAAGATGTTAAAAAACATCTGCTTTATCACTTGTTAATCACTGGTTATTTTCTTAATTTAGTGTCTTCATTGGCTCCTCTGGCATGGAGCTGATATCACACAAGTAACTTTGAGAGGTTGGACAGCAGCTCACATAGCTGCAATCAGAGGTCAGGATGCTTGTATGCAGGTAATAATAACTTTGGCTACTTTAAAAAATCAATATATTTAATAACTTTAGCATAGTTTTGTTGGGCTGTTGCTTTTATTCTAATAATTTGACTCATAGATTTAGTTCTTTGTCCTAAACAAGTATTTATTGAATTCCATGACTCAGATATTTGGTACCAAATACAGCTTAAACAAATTGTGTAAGACTGGGGATCCTTTTATCTCTGACGTAATTGGCTATTGATGGGTTGTTTTAAAGGGCTATCACAGACATGACCAGATTATCTCCTTAATAGCTTGTCATGCCTAAAATTTCTTATTTAATGTATTTCCTGGCCAGAATTTCACATTAATATGTGCAGGATTTAGCTTCTTAGATTAACTAGATATAATCAATGTACTGAAATAGACTGGAATTTGGAGGAATACAAAATTGTATAAGCAAACAGTTCCTGCCTCTTAGAAGCCTGAGATTCTATTTGGAATGACAGGCTCTCTACTCAGTGAATTACAAAACAATACAAAGTATAGTCTATGATTAAGGCTCTAATGATTAGGAGGAGATAGAGAAATCATTAATGGAGGCAATAAAACTTCAACTAAGCTGAAAAGAATAGTTTGATTTCAGAAAGGTAAGGAGCAGTGAAAAATGATTATCATTTTTTATGTGTGATTACAGTTTCCCGTGCATCACTTCATTTAAGACAACAATCTTATGAGTTCCCCTTTTTATAGATAAAGAATCAGATTCAGAGAGTTAAGTATGTTGCCTAAGTAAGTGACAAAACCAGGATTTGAACCTAGATTTTATTCTATTAATCTCCATGCTGTAATTCTATGTGAGGTACTTGAATTGGAAAAATTAGGTGTGTTCAGGGGATAAACTATTATATGAGTTTGACTGAGTTGTAGATATTTTGTTGTTGTATACTGTTATGAATTAAGTTTGGATAGCCAGGTATGTAAAATGTCTTAGAAGTAGAATAAAGATTCATTTGTATAAGAGAGTTTTTATATGTGTACTAATATATACTCTTACACATACATGTAACACACATACATACTTATGCATACATACACATGCACATGAACATTAACAGAGGAATGAAGTAATGAAAGCAGTATTTCAGGAAATTACTCTAACAAGATATATCTGGGATTACCTAGGATGAGGAGACAGTTTGGAGGCAAGAAGAGCAGTTAGAGACTTTTGGTGTCATCACTACCCCCAGAGGGAGAAATTAGGTGGTGGCAGTGGGAAAGAAAAAAAATGATTGAAGACCTCTTGCAAAGCAGGAGTTGACAAAGTAGAGTGAAAATTTTAAAGTTTTGAGACAGAATGGCAGATAATGATGACACTACAGATAGGGAAATCTGAAAGGCAAGGGAGATATGGGAGCAAAAATGTCGAATTCAATTTGGCACATGTTGTTTAGGGGGCTTATAGGTCATTTCGGAGAAGAAGGTCCAGGCAGTTGAAAAGGGTGCTGAGACAAAGATTTCAGGAGTAATAAAGTATAGAGAAGAGAATAGAGTATTGAAGATTGAATGTTGAAGAATGTTACTAGTAGTGATAGTAGGAAGCAGAGAAATGAGTAAAGAATTCAGAGGACGAAGTTAGAGATAGGAGAGCCAGGATGCATTGGGCTGTACAAATGAGGGAAGAAGTGTTAGGCCGAGTGTCAGAGTTACAGGATGAAACTAAGGGAATGCCATTGGACTTGAGAGCTCACTCTAGGGTAAAGTTTGCTGTATTTCCATGCAGTGGTAGGGATGGCATCTTGTTTGCAGGTCAATTTGAAGTTGAGGCCTTAAGGTATTAATTTGAGAAGGAGGCAGTGAAAGAGAAAAAATAGTAACTTTAGGGGACATTCGGGTCAAATGAAGCTTTCCTTCCTCTAAGCATTAGATCAAACCATTCCCATGGCTCTGATTGTCCTTTTCTCCCTCAAAGGGATCTTTTCATTCTCAGAGATGTTGTGGTGTTTTTTGGTACTATACTGTGTAGTTGTTAAATTATCAAGGACTGCTTTATATAATTGATTATCATTGTCTCTACATATGTCCTAATTCTCTAAGTTGACATGTCTTCATAGTCCTTGTAGTGATTTTTAAAGTATAGTAAATACTCAGGGTATGGATTGTGATGATTATTGACTAGTTTGTTAATTAGGAAGACTATTCTTAAAGCTCTTGATATGAGTTATGATGGAGTCTTTTGCTAAGATACTGGTAAATACAGGCTGGTTAAAAAAGAAGGTCTGAGGGAGTAAAACTAAAAAATATTAACTAACAATTCTTTTAAACAGATTACTCGGTATATTATATAGAGGGGTGTGCTGTGTTTATGATATAATCCTTATATAGAAACTAGGCCTATTGTAAATTCAGATGGAATCTCCTCAGATGAAGTTAGAAATTTGATTCGGAGCTAGAACTAGTTACTTTAATAACAAAATCCTCCTACAGTATATTCAAAACCCAGTTAATAAAAGATTCTGCTTTTGAAATAGTGAGTTTACTTCTCAGTTTATTAGCTTAGCATTAAAGTATTTAACTTAGTGATTATTGATCTCTGTTTCTGAAAACTGTGCCTTATAAATTGTATGCACATGCATGAAATCAGGTATTATAAATATCTCCTAGGCAAGGTTAAAAAGGATCTCAAGCATTTTCTTAGGATTAGCTAAGAATTTCTCGTACTTTGTTTGTGGCACATATAAGAACTTATATAATGTAGCTATAGGTTGATAAACTGCTTGCCTATTACACATCTGCATTTATGATTTAACATATTTATGTACACTCACTGTTATTTCTCTATTTTTAGGCTCTCATAATCAATGGGGCAAATCTGACAGCTCAAGATGATCGTGGATGCACTCCTTTACACCTTGCTGCAACACATGGACATTCTTTCACTTTACAAATAATGCTCCGAAGTGGAGTGGTGAGAGATTCCTGTTAATATGTGAGAATGTGTAATCGTATAGATGGAATAGCATTTGGTAGCCTAGTTACCTCTCCCTGACTTTTTAAATCCCTTTTATGACTTTGCGGAAGTAATTTGATCGCTCTCTTTAGCTTTTCTGTCTTTAAACATAGGAGCATAATTTAGATAAAGCTTCAGAAAAACCCCAGTTTAGCAGTACAAAGTATTTCAGAGGCTGTGGGTTCTTCATGTCAGTTCAGAGTTTAACTGGGAAGATTCTGAAGCTTCCAAACACATCTCAACCAGTGATTGTAAATCTTTCTGAATTTCTGTGTGTTTACCTATTTGTTTTGTAACTTATTTCATACACTAATTTAGAAAGTGATTTTTATCTTCAGAAATTTCATTCATTGTGATATTTATTTTCAATATTACGCAGTGGTTGTAAAAAAATAACTTATAAGAAAAGAACTACCTTTATTGAAGACATTATGGTAAGAGTTGGTGTTTCTGTAGTTAGAGAAATAGTGAAGGGCCTATTAGGTATTTTTTTAATTAACTCTTTATGCTTTCAAGGATATGATTGGATCATTTGAATCCATCCCTTTCATTTTATTGGTCAGAAGCCTGTGATCAGTAAAATGACTAGTTAAGTTTCCTTTTTGTGTGTGTGTATGTGTGTGTGTGAAGATTTTTTTATTTATTTTAAAAGATTTATTTATTTTTGTTAGAGAGAGAGCATGAGTGGGAGGGGCAGAGGGAGAGGCAGTGGGAATCCCAAGCAGACTCTTTGCTGGTCACGCAGCCGCGCCTGCGCCTTGATCCCACAACCATGAGCTCACGACCTGAGCCAAAACCAAGAGTCAGATGCTCAATGGACTAAGGCACCCCATGACTTATTTATTAATTTGAGAGAGGGAGGGGCGGGGCATGGTGGAAAGGGAGAGAGAACCCCAAGCAGACTCTGTGCTGAGTGTGGAGCCCAACTTGGCCAGATCCCATGACCTGAGACCATGACCTGAGCTGAAACCAAGAGTCAGGCACTCAACTGATGCACCACCCAGGCACCCCTAGTTAAGTTCCTTTTTAAAAACTATTTTTATGGATCAAGTTACATTCTTTTTAAAAAGACTATTTTATAAAATTTTATTAGTGCCTTATTAACTCATACGTTTAAATCAGTGGTAGTAGTAAATTTTTCTACTACATTTATTGTTTGCCTTATATTTTTAAGAACAGCCTCCAATTTTCATTTGCAGAATTAAGCTGCTAGACTTACTGTTTCTCCTACAAATGGAAAGAAACTAAGTTCTTGTGAATGTTACCTCTAGGATCCCAGTGTGACTGATAAGAGAGAATGGAAGCCTGTGCACTATGCAGCTTTTCATGGGCGACTTGGCTGTTTACAGCTTCTCGTTAAATGGGGATGTGGAATAGAAGATGTGGACTACAACGGAAACCTTCCAGGTATTCACAAAAGCAAATGTTTTGGTTTTTCGTTAATGTAAACTTTTAAATGATTGTGTTTATGAAATTTAAACTGTCATCATTCTAACAGTCCTTCAGAAAACTAATTTTTTACTCTTGCACCTATGTTATGTACCTTTCATATGACTTTCTTTCTGGAGCCATATCAGCAAAAGAGAAATTGGCAAAATTGAACTTGGATTTACTCTTCCCACCAGCTATTTCCTTCATCTGCTGTCTAGTTTATTATTTTTTAACTTCATACAGCTCCACCTCCCAGATTGCTATTTATAAAAAATAGTATAAATAGTGGACACTAGCGTATTTGAGTTAATTTGCTAACTGCAGTTGGCTAGTCTGCAATTAGCTGGCCAGTTGAGACCTATACTCTAAACACCCTGTCTTCTTCCAAGAGGTGCTGTAGAAATGCAGAAGAGGGATAGATCATAGAGTGGAGTGAGGATTACTAAAAATAATACTTGAATTACCTCTTAAAAGAACCTTAAGTAGCAAACAAATGAAGCGAAGTCCAGACAGAATGATATGAACAGGTTTAATCAAATCACTCTGTTGCTTAAAAACTTCCTAGATTGCTGGGCACCTGGGTTGCTCAGTCGTTAAGTGTCTGCCTTTGGCTCAGGTCATGATCCCGGGGTCCTGGGATCGAGCCCCACATCGGGCTCCCTGCTCGGCAGGAAGCCTGCTTCTCCCTCTCTCACTCCCCCTGCTTGTGTTCCGTCTCTCGCTGTGTCTCTCTCTCTCTGTCAAATAAATAAATAAAATCTTAAAAAAAACAAAAACAAAAAAACTTCCTAGATTGCTGAGGAGCTCTGATTTCTTAGCTTGGCATGCTGTACCTTCCTAATTTGGCTCTTACCTGCCTCCTTGGCCTCATCTTCCATCCCTTTACACTGCTGTCTGGGATTGTTTTGCTTCTTTCTGAAGTACATCCTTTAGGGTTCATATAGTAAAGATGTGTTGGTATGAATTCTTAATTTTTGTATATCTGGAGATTACTGTTTTGCTCTTATTATTTTTTAAAATAAATTTTTAAATTGAAGTATAACTATTGAAGAAAAGTGCTCATTTCCAATGCACAGCTCATTGAATTTTCACAAATGAGTACTTTTCTGTAATCATTAGCCAGATCAAGAAATAGAATAGTCTCTTCGTGTCCTTTTTCTGGTTACCAAGAGTTTCCAAAGTTACTCACCTTGACTCCCAATATAAAAATTAGTATTTTTTTTCTTTCTGAATTCTATGGGATAAAATAATACACTCGTATTCTTTTGTGTCTGACCTGATTTTCCAGTGGTTGTTATGAATTTATACACCCACGAGCAGTATTTAAGTCTTTCAGTTGTTTCACTTTCTCATTAATACTTGGTATTATTAGTTTGTTTTTTTTTTGTTTTTTTTTTAGTTTTAGTCATTCTTTTGGGTGTAATACTTCATTGTGGTTTTAATCTACATTTTCTTTGATTAAAGATGTAGAACATCGTTTTTTTTTCTGAAAGTTTGGACCTCTCTCTCTCTCTTTTTTTTAAAGATTTTATTTACTTATTTGACAGAGAGAGAGAGTGAGAGAGGGAACACAGCAGGGGAAGTGGGAAAGGGAGAAGCAGGCTTCCTGCCGAGCAGGGAGCCCAATGCGGGGCTCGATCCCAGGTCCCTGGGATCATGACCTGAGCCGAAGGCAGTCGCTTAACCAACTGAGCCACCCAGGCACCCCTCTTTTTTGTTTTTAATTGAAGTATGGTTGACATACATGCTATATTAGTTTCAGGTGTACAACATATTGATTTGACAATTCTATATATTACTCAGTGTTTACCTTGATAAGTATATTATCATCTATCACCATATATATTCCCTATGTTGTACTTTTAATTTCCATGACTTATTTATTTTGTAGCTGGAAGTTTGTATCTCTTAATCTCCTTTACCTATTTCTCCCAGCCCTTCAACCCATCTCCCTTCTGGCAACCACCAGATTATTCTCTGTATTTATGAATCTGTCTTTTTTTGTTGTTGTTGTTTTTTAGATTTCACACATAAGTGACATTATATGGTATTTGTCTTGTGTCTGACTGATACCACTTAGCAAAATACTCTCTCTTCCATCCATGTTGTTGAAAATGGCAAGATCTCATTCTTTTTTATGGCTGAATAATATTCCACTGTATATATATATCTCTATAAGTATCTTCTTCTTTATCCATTCATCTATCTGTGGACACTTAGATTGTTTCCTTATCTTGGCTATTGTAAATAAGGCTGCAGTGCATATATTTTTTTGAATTAGTGTTTTCTTTCTCTTTTTTTAATTTAAAGATTTTATTTATTTATTTGACAGAGAGAGACACAGCGAGAGAGGGAACACAAGCAGGGGGAGTGGGAGAGGAAGAAGCAGGCTTCCCGCTGAGCAGGGAGCCTGATGCGGGGCTCGATCCCAGGACCCTGGAATCATGACCTGAGCCAAAGGCAGATGCTTAACGACTGAGCCACCCAGGCGCCCTGAATTAGTGTTTTCATTTTCTCTGGGTAAATACCCAGTAGTGGAATTACTGGATCATATGATATTTCTATTTTTCATTTTTTGAGGTTCCTCAAAAAAAGAAAAAGAAAAAGAAAAATAACCCCTCTTTTCCACAGTAGTTGCACCAATTTACATTTGCACTAACAGTACATGAGAGGTCCCTTTTCTTCACATCCTCTCCAAAACTTATTTCTTTTTCTTTTTGATGCCAGCCATTTTGACTTGTGTGAAGTGATATCTCATTGTGGTTTTGATTTACATTTCTCTGATGATGAGTGATGTTGAGCATCTTATCATGTGTCTGTTGACCATCTGTACATCTGCTTTGGAAAATGTCTATTCAGATCCTCTGCCCATTTTTAATAAAATTATTTGTGTTTTTAGTGTTGAGTTATATAAGTTCTTTATATATTTTGGTTGTTAAGCCCTTATTGGATATCATTTGCAGATATCCTTGTCCTTTCAGTAGGTTGCTTTTTTGTTTTGTTGATATTTCCTTTGCTGTGCAAAAGCTTTTTATTTTGGTATAGTTCCAGTATTTTTGCTTTTAGGTTTTTGTTTTGTTTTGCCTGAGGAGATAATATCCTTAAAGATGTTGCTAAGGCCCATGTTGAAGAGATTACTGCCTGTGTTTTCTTTTAGGAGTTTTATGATTTCAGGTCTCACATTCAGTTCTTTAATCCATTTTGAGTTTATTTTTGTGTGTATGGTGTAAGAAAGTGTTCTAGTTAAATCCTTTTGCATGTAGCTGTCCAGTTTTTTCAGTGCCATTTATTGAAGAGATTGTCTTTTCCCCATTGTATATTCTTGCCTCCTTTGTCGTGGATTAGTTGACTATGTAATTGTGGATTTATTTCTGGGCTCTGTATTGTGTTCCATTGATCTATGTGTCTGGTACCATGTTGTTTTTATTGCTGTAGCTTTGTAGTTATTCTTGAAACCTGGGATTATGATACCTCTAGCTTTGTTCTTGTTTCTCAAGATTACTTCAGCTATTTGGTTTTTTTTTTTTTTTTTGTCGTTCCATTTAAATTTTAGGATTATTTGCTCTAGTTTTGTGAAAAATACTGTTGGTATTTTGATGGGGATTGCATTGAGTCTGTAGATTGCTTTGGAGAGTATAAACATTTTATCAATATTGATTTTTCCAATCCATGAGCCTGGTATATTTTTCCATTTGTTTGTATCATCTTCAGTTTCTTTCACTGTCATCTTCTTTCTCTATCATCTTTTTACCTCCTCGGTTAAATTTACTCCTAGGTATTTTATTCTTTTTGGTGCAATTATTGGTGAAATTGTTTTCTTAATTTCTCTTTCTGCTGCTTCATTATTGGTGTATAGAAGTGCAATTGATTACTGTATATTAATTTTGTATCCTGCAACTTTACTAACTTCATTTATTACTTCTGATAGTTTTTTGGTGGAGTCTTTAGGGTTTTTTATGTATAGTATCATGTCATCTGCAAATAGTGACAATTTTCCTTCTTCCTTACTGATTTAGATGCCTTTTATTTTTCTTGTCTGATTGCTGTGGCTAGGGCTTTGAGTACTATGTTGAATTAAAGTGGTGAGAGTGGACATCTTTGTTTTGTTTCTGATCTAGAGGAAAGGGCTCTTAGGGGGCGCCTGGGTGGCTCAGTTGGTTGAGCATCTGCCTTTGGCTTAGGTCATGATCCCGGGATCCTGGGGTTGGGCCCTGCATTGGGCTCCCTGCTGAGCAGGGGGCCTGCTTCTCCCTCTCCCTCTGCCTGCCACTCCCCCTGCTTGCATGTACGTGCTCTCTCTCTCTCTCTCTCAAATAAATAAATAAATAAAATCTTTAAAAAAAATAGAAAGGCTCTTAGTTTTTCAGCATTGAGTATGATGTTGGCTGTGGGTTTGTCATATATGGCTATTATGTTGAGAAATGTTTCCTCTCCACCCACTTTGTTGAGAGTTTGTATCATGAACAGATGTTGTGTTTTGTCAGATGCTTTTTCTGTATCTAGTGAGATGACCTAAATGTTTTTATCCTCCCTCCTGTTAATGTGATGTTTCACATTGATGGGTTTGTGAATATTGAACCATCCTTCCTCCCTGGAATAAATCCCATTTTATTGTGTTGAGTGAGCTTTTCTTTTTTTTTTTTTTAACTTAATTTAATTTTATTATGTTATGTTAGTCTACTATACAATAAATCATTAGTTTTTGATGTAGTTATCCACGATTCATTGTTTTCTTATAACACCCAGTGCTCCATGCAGTACGTGCCCTCCAATTTTTTTTCTTTAAATTTTTTTATTGTTACGTTAATCACCATACATTACATCATTAGTTTTTGATGTAGTGTTCCATGATTCATTGTTTGTGCATAACACCCAGTGCTCCACACAGAACGTGCCCTCTTTAATACCCATCACCAGGCTAACCCATCCCCCCCACCCCCCTCCCCTCTAGAACCCTCAATTTGTCTCTCAGAGTC